GTTGAAAAAAAAATAGGAATAAATGACGAATGAGCGTCAACTTTCATAAAAATTGGTGGAAACTGACAACTATGAGGGTATGTATTTTTTTAAACAATTTCGAAAACATCAAAATGATGACATAAACCACCCCGATTTTGACGTGTACTGCAACATATTTCAATTTCAACAAAATCCCTGACACCGAATAGGCGAGCATGACGAGTGATCGATTGACGCGGAGCAAACCGAACGTGATTTTTTTAAAACACCGTTTTCGAAAAACGGTTGCAACGATTGTCTTCAAAAATTGTAAAGTTTACTTGAAACTATCGTTTACCATATGTCGCAAACGGGAAATCGACAAATTTCCGAAAAGGAGGAAGAAAAAAATATCGAAACACAAAAGAAAGTCAGAGAAAGAGAACTCCCCCATTAATACTCGTCTGGCTCGTTTCTTGCAACAAATATCTGCATAGGTACTCCAGAAACATAATGCATAATGGACGCTAATGGATGATAATGAACGTAAATGATGATGAACAATGATGGATGATGGTGGACAATGGACAATTAATGACGATGAACGGTGGACGATGGATGATAGACAAATATTTTGTTCAAATTCCCTATATATTCGAAATCACAGATTCGCGATCAAAACAGCAGACACTTAGATAATTGATATAACTCCCACATATAACAATATTTTTTAACGAAATTTTAACCAACAATTCCTTAGACTACGAGCAATAAAACTTTATACCTTTCAAATGATTGCTAGTATCCGTTTCCCAGAAATTTAGAGTCCGGACTGCACACTTCCCTTAACGATCGATTACTCCGTTTTTTGTACCAAACACTTGCAAACACATCCCTGAAACGATTATCCAGACGTTTGTATGTAACTGCTTACCATACCGGGTAGCCGATCCAGTAATCCTCGTTGTTGGATTCTCTTTATACGGTGTCATCCACGAATACGCTGCATAATCGTGTTTCGCTCGGTGGTCCAGGAAACTCCCGAGCATCGTTATCTCGGCGAGCATGGATTTTCTATCCTCCGATCGTTTAATATCCCTCAAGTGCCTATATAACTAGCATTCGTGGCTCATTGTCCTGGATAAACGGCCGATCGAGCGTGGTTTCGACGTAAGCTTCGGTAATTCGATCCGGCGACTTTGTACGTCAACTCGTTAAGCCGTATTAAAGCATCGTTTTAGGAGGATAGGACGACGGCTTTTCAGTTGCGAAACCGCAACTTACTTTCAGCCAGCGGCGCACCCCGCGCCGAGCGGATTCTCTCTCAATTTTCATCGCATTCAGCCACAACCAGCCGCGCCGTGATTTAACGTTCGCGTGAGCGATTCCTTACCGTGGTTTCACGGAACCCAGTGTATGCATACGATGAATTTCAGAGTGGCTTACAGTGGTTTTTAATATCCGCTGCAAGGCAGGTGCAGTTGCTACTGTTATGTTGAGTGCTTCGAGCGCTTTCTGCAGTTTTTAATGTTTACCGTGGCAACGACGAACTTGAATGCTTGATAATGTTTGCGGCCTGTGAAAGGCATGGAGTGGTTGACCACTTTAGTGGAGCGAGTCAAAGGGTAAATTTAAGTATTTGTATTATATGTTTGATACCTTTTTATGGGAATGATGTTGCTGGTGGATGATGGACTATGGTCTTAATGGACGTGAAGGACGTTGAACGACAGATGATGTTGGAATATGGACGATGCTAGGCAGAACATGTTATCTGCCTGTTATCATACAGCCGACTATTAAATTTGGATATAAATAACGGAATATGCATTTAATAAAAAAAAAAAACGCAGGCCAAATCAAAAAGAAATAATGTTTATGTATAAGATCTATGTATACATTTTGCGCGTTTTACAGGACAGTAAATGGTATAGCCACTATAGATGTGAAAGTATCCAAATAAATTTAGAATTTTGCATACAGCGCTCACAGTGGCAAAACGTCCAAGTTTGTCATGAAATAGTAGTTTTCCATTCTTGGGTCTGAACGGTGCCAATCGATAGTCGGTAATATTATTTTTACCGACACTAGATATACTATTCTAAATTTCATTTTGTGTATAGATTTTATCGATAATCAATAACTATAAAAATACTTCATTCTCTCATATTTTTATATTTTTAAATATATTTTCGTCTCAATCAGGTAGACAATTTCAAATGAAAATAACAGAAATCCCGAAAATATTGGATAAATTGCAAAAGCATAAATACTCTAATAAAAAAAAAAGTACAGACTGTAAAAGCTATATACTGTACCCGATAAAATTAATGTAGATAACAAAATAATTATCTACCAAATTCTATTTTACTTAAAAGTACCGCTTGTGTCTTTTTTTTATTAAATGTATATTCCATTATTTATGTCCAAGTTTATACTTGACTATTTTGTTTCATTGTATATATGTATACATATAAGTATCTATACATAAGTTGCGATAGGACACACGAAGAAATGACTGTCGCATCAATTACAAATTGTCTGTATATTTGACTTTACTAATAATAATGATAGTAGTAATCTTAATCATTATAATCATAATACACCGCATGATGATGGTCAATAATGACACACGGATAGATATAATAATCGCAATCATAAACTACATCAATAATAATTATTATAATATTAAGAAATCATCACTACCATCTTTGGGAAACAATGTGCAAGACGATCAAGTAAAGATAATGGATGGAACATAAAAGTACGCAAAGGAACCGAAAGAGACGAAGGAATAAGAGAATTTCTCTTGCACAAAAATTAATTCGTGAATCTGTTTCAAGTAGTAATTAGTATTACTGTTATAATAATAGAGTTCATGTCATTCGTAAATAACCGTCCATACGTGTAGTTCATTCGCCGAATATTCTCCCTCTCTTTTATTCACACACGCGCGCGCGTACTCAAAGCTCGCTCCTTGATCTGCGTTTTTCTCCATTGCAGCAGAATAGAAATTTTTTACTCATTCAAAAAACAGTCTTTCGTTGCACCTGTGGGAAGTCCTCCTCTTTGCACCTACTTGTTCCGAATTTGTTTTATTTTTCCTGTGTCTTGCCCCGTTCAAAGTATTGCAAATAATGATATAACATTTGGAAAAGTTAACCATTCTCTATTTCAATAAATTCGTAAAAAGCTTAGAAACGCATGCTCGAAAAACAAATAAGCATGCCGTATTATTCATTTATCACATATCACGTCATGTATTTATATACAAATAAATAAATGAGTGTACATTACGCGTTTATTTAAAAAAAATTCGAAAGTCACTCTCGTTATGTATTATTGCTACAATTTTTCTTACTTCTTATTTCAACGATATACGGACAAATATGTACTTAATAAGTTCTCTTGATATAAAAAAAAGAAAAGAAAAGAATATAATTTGCAATTACAAAATTGTATCCCAAAAGTACTTAATAATTCGCTACGTCTAATTGTTTATGATTGCACAACATTTTAAATTGCAAATATGAACTATCCTCGTATAGTGTACATTGTACATTACGTAATTCATATTTATTCAAAATATACACCAATCATAAAAACATAACTATAAAGAGCATATAGCCTTAAAAAAAAATGCAATTTAAATTCGATTACCGTTACAATATAGAATATCTTGAGAAATCTCGTTAGATTATATACGTTGAACAGATCAAACTAAAATTATATCTAGCTGAAAGTTCCATGACAATCTCAGTTTTTTCGGTAAACATTACAATATGGTATGTATTGCTAAATTGTAAATAATTCAGAACATTGACAAGTTCTTCAAATACACTAGAATTTGTTCCTATGCTCTGTTTTAAATAGAAAATGTCGCGATTCGAATCTAGTCAGTCATAAGATAGTCTAACCGAATCGGTAAAACTATTCTATTACGAGTTAAGTTTTAAAGCATATTATACACAAAATCATGAACCTGGCAGATGAATAAGAATTGTTTTTGATTCGCATACACCATTGAATGAATAAGAAGTAGGAAGAGGAAGACCATCCTTTTCCTGTGCGCATTGCCTTATCAAGTTATAAATTCTTTATAAAAGCTGAAGGCGTTTTCTGCGTTCGCCTACATCAATCGTCAAGAATAAACGACGCCATGACTATACCAGTACGAACATCTTTCGCGAAGAAGAAAGTGTAAAATAAACGTACGATATATACTTGTAAATACCTTAAAAATGAAAATTTTTTTTTCATCTTATTCCTATACGTGTCAAAAAATCTTAATATAAATCTATTACTTGTAATAATGCAATTTATCCGACGCCATGCATTATATCGTCGTATCATCATCGTCATTATCTTGAATCGCAGGAATCAACATATAAGTCCTTTGACTATTATGAACTATACAATTAATAACATTAGCAGTTATTTTTTTCCCTTATCGATAATTTTAGTTATACCGTTTTAGTCCGTCGCTATTCTTTCGATACCGTTGCTCTCTCATTTAGAAGACTTTCCTAACGCAAACTTGGTGCGATAACATACGTAATTACAATTAATTGTATACCATGGAAGCGATCACTTTCAAACTAATCGAAATTGCATCGAATGATTTCATAAGAAAATACAGGATTCAATGAAACGTAATTTTAAAAAACATACACTGTACATTCTCCGTTACTCTCGTTCTCACTCACGCGCGCGCGCTTTCTCTATAGTCTCTTTTTTCAGTGGAAAACGCAAACACTCATTCACATCATATTCTTGCTCGCGTATCTGCACTTGCGAGCTATCAAGAGGTTTTACGTAGTTACTGTTATCATAAAAAAGTTTTGCCACTCATTAAAAACTTATTTCGGAAGGTCTTCTTGTTTGTACAGATCAAAGCATCGATATTGCACAATTTTCTGCATCTACGATAACAGAACGGGTTACAACGATTCTGTTACAATTCGCTGATAATTCGTCGTCTACGTGCACTCGTCCAGGAAATTATCGTCATTACTCTTGAAATTTTATTCCGTTCTTGAAGTTTTCTTCTGCTTTCTTTCGAAATTGACGGTACTTCCAAGATGAAGCTTGAAATTGATAGCGTTGAAGATACTCAGACAATGATAAAAATAGTAACGAATCTTATCACAAAAAGTGTAAATGAATTTTGTGCATGTACTTTGTTCCTACTCTCTTTTATGTAAAGGGACATAGGTGTGAGGAAGGAACCATCTTATAAAAAAATCTACGTGTGCTCTCATACGCTAAGCCGTATTACGAAAGATAATCGGTTAAAAAAGCGCAGAAATTTCTTTACAAGAAGATTTACAAATATTAGCGTCCCTCGTGTACTCTGGAAAAACAACTGAAAACTCTTTAGGTATACCTCGCGGTAGGTTTCATTTCCCTGAATTGATGTGCAATTACTCGAGCAAAAACAGTGATATCGACCGTAATGGTCTCGCTGAGGTGAACGATGACGGTCGTGATGGTGACGGTGGTGGCACTGATGATGATGTCGACGACGATAACGATGACAGTGTCGATGTCGATGACGGTGGCGATGACGATGATGGTGGTGGTGTCGATGACGTTGATGGTGGCGATGATGGCGATAATGACGGCGAAGACGACGACGATTATAATAAAATTGAGAATGATATTGACTGCGCTGCAAACATTTTCTGTCTTCCATGGCGTTGTTTAATCTTGGCAGTGAAAAACGAGTTAACATGAATATCGAAGATAAATATCCTGATACACGCGATAGATTTTGTATCGTTATACGCGAAGATAATGTTGGGGCCAGATTTGGCCTCATTCGGGATCACCAGTTAGCCATGCCAGGTTTATTTAATGTCATGAAGTAAATCTGGCACGAACTTCCGCCTTTTGCTGACGAGAAAAATACCTAAAAAAGAAATAATTGACAATCAAATATGTGACCTAAGTTGATCGAATCAATCTGTACAAACCTTATCATTACGCTCGCAAAGGAACTTGAGCCGTTGAGCTTTCTTGTGCATGAATACACCGTCGAGGTGACCACTTTCTACGCTCCTAATCTCGATCGCCTTATTGCCCCAGCCCATAATTTGTCCTGTGCCGATATAAGCAACACTCGTAGGCATTTCACCCCATTGAAGGACCATCGTCTTGGATACTCTACCGTAAGTGTTCACATATACACCTTCGTTATCATAACACAACAGTAACTGCATTCCATTACTGTTGGGTAATGCGACAATGCAATGTGGACAAATAGGACCCTGAGTCTGTAATCAAAAAGTAACTTATATTGCAAATTGTTGATACTGTCAATTATATCAAACCCTTTTGCACGAGGTAGATCGTATTAAAAAATTGTAAAAGTGCAAAGGGGTAAATGTCGCTGAGACGCTCTTACATGTTTTGGTAGATAAATATCGTAAACCGTAGCCGAGTCCAAATCAACAGCGTGAAAGCCATCGGCGCTACCGTAGATCACTTTCAATCTTGTGCCTTCTTCTATGGTAAGATCTACGAGAAGTGGCCTGTGCGCGAGCTCGCCGAACGACTTGAAAGCCATGAATTTGTGGTAAGGCTTCGGCGCCCATGCATAAATTTCTATGGAATCCTTCAGCGCGATAACGAGAAACTTTATTCTCTCGTATTTGACTATTTTGAAATGCACCGCCCCTTGAAGATCACCAACGTTGATCCAACCGTTGCGTCGTTCCACTTGCTAAAAGGGTACCGATTAAACACGTTAAACAAATTTCAACGAGTATCGTGTCGTCCAAAAGGTACAACACTCACGTCGCTGTGTCCGTCGGTTCGTAGAATCTTACTCTTGAGCCAGGAAAGATAGTACACTCGTACTCGATTCTTCTTTCCGCTAATTGTGACCAAAATGTTTTGACCTTCGAGGACTTCCATTTGTTGGAATCGTCTTCTGCTGATCAGTTGATACACTTTACCCTGACCACTTCTATCTAACAGCATAAGGCCATTCTCGGTGCCAATCAACAGATTTACTCCTACAACGATTAAATTAAATTACATATTGTGAAATGCATCAGATAATATTTCGCGTAGAGATGCACCTACCCCATAATGCAGCGCAAAGTATCTCGCTGTTAAAACGTTTTTTATATTTGCGTATTTCAGGCGTATCAGAGGCTAAATCGTGACTGGTCGGTGTTACGTTAACGTTCACGTGAGACTCCCTCCTGGCTGGTCCAGCGCCGAATCCAAATGTCAGGAAAGACCTCTGCTTCTGTTGAAGCGCAAACGGAGGTGGTGATTTAACAGCTTGCCGATACTGCAACAAAAATGATCATCAGTCTCGGTCCAAATATAAACGTGGCGTGTGACATAAATTAATACCGTCGAGGAGATGTGTATGTTACTGTAACTAACAATACGAAACAACCAAAAAAACAAAGTATTATAATTGATGGGGTAGTAGTAACGGTTTATGAAGAAATTAGGAGAGAGACACACAAAATAAATATACAGAGTTACATGCAGCAAGAGAATTACGATAATTCGTACGAAAATTAGAAAGTGTAAAAGAACATTGCATCAGACGGTCAAACGATACGCATTACTTCATGTACCGCAAAACAAATATTGCATAAAAAACCATGAAAATTTGAACAAATAAATAAATAAACAAACAAAAAAACATAATCATACAAGCTTGAAGCACAAAACTTTAAGAAAAGCTACGGAAACGTTTTGCAAACAGAACAAACATAGTATATGCATATAGAAAATGCTAATCCCTCCGATCTTTAATTAAATAACCATAATTTTGCCATGAAATTTTTGTCATCTTATTCCTACGTATTTTTCAGGTAGACCAGAAATTCCAAGGTATGTGTGAGCGTGTGTGCATTGTGATGTGTAATTTGTGTTAAATGTTGCGCCATTCCGCTGTGTTTTATGACATATGTCTTTTGCGTTTTGTGTTCAATGTTTTGTGGTGTTACTGGTAAGAGAAAGAGCCAATAAAAGCGGTGCAATCCCGATCGTGCTGAGATCACCGCCCGTACCAAAGAAAGAACCTAGAAACCAAAAGTCTGGTAGAAAAGATTTGCACACGTGAGATCGGCATTCCTCGCGCGGCATACGGTGAAGAAAACCAAACGTTAAGAGAAACATAAGAGGGGTATTGTTGTGTTTTCTTTCGTCTGTACATTATAGGAACATTCTCGTAAGGAAACAGAAGCGACACTGAAGTATAAATGGATAAATGAATACTTACATTGCAATTAGTATTGGGATTGGGATGGTCAGTAGAAAGGGTCCTGCCCTTCGGATTAGAGCTCCCACGTGTCCCACAACACACAACAGAATCCTGAATTAGTCACGTTGACAAACGCAATGTGATCGCTTGCGCGGGATTCTCGCGTAATATAAGGGGACATGATACGCAATAATTTATTATAGAATAACGTTTTACAGTGCACCGATTTTAGAACTGTCCAACTACACCGGAAAAATCAAGTCGTGTATTCGAAACGAGCCGAGTATTTTGTGTAACTTGATTCCTGGTTCTGATGAAAAATAAATTCCACGCGTATCGTTCCCATGATTCGAGTAGACTGAATTATATCTACTCGTATCATTCAAATAAGTCGAATAATTGAACAATTTGACCTGAATTATGTATTAACGATGCAATCTATAATATATCAAATACAAGTAATGTACCAATATATTATATTATAATTATAATAATATATACTAATAATATGTCTAAGATTTTAAGATTTTTGCACACCCCAACAATTAAATAACCAGCTCGAATGCGAAAAACAGATAATTCGACTTGAATTTCGAACGATCGGACAACTCTAGCGTCGATTCGTTTAAAAGGAACTTTGATTCAAATTCGAGAATTTTTATACTACGGTCTGACTGACAATCATGACATCAACTTTTAATACATAAATCAATTACCAAAGTCAAAACGAAGAAAAGATCGACTTGGTGAAGGGGACGTTTTATGATCGAAAGCCCCCACTTCTTTTTTACTTTCAACTGTCCCAAATTCACACTTGCTCGTTGCTCTCGGTCCCTGAACTTACCCTTGCAATATTTTCCACGTAATCAGATACATCATGTACAACTAATTATTCCTCAGGTGGACTATTTGTTCATAAATTATTATTCTTAAACTATAGCACGCTATGCAACTACGTTGCTGCACTAAAACGACAATTACAAGTACCGTGAACTGAGTACCATGTTCGTTTCAGTAAGTTATCAGACGTAGAAAACTATAAGCAAAGCATTCACAAGGTACTGACACAAAGCAAAAGGCGTCCTATGTGTGAACCCTCGAACTCGACAACGTGTATTGTTACGAATGTTTCATGTTGCTATTATGATACATTTTCTTTCGTCATTAAGACGAAATCCAATTTATTTCCAAATAAATACACTGTATTTGTTCAAGTTCGTGGATTGACACAGTAACATACACGTACATATCTACGCACGTATTTATTGACTCCGTTCATCGAACTGTTGACTTTTACCATGCTGAAAAACTACCCCCTCATAGTTTCGTCCCCTAATGATATCTTAAAAACACTTTGAGATACATGGAAGTTTTCAAAGGAAACTCTCTGTGATTTATAACGAAAAATAATTTGGAGTAAACAACAATAAAAATAATTCATGAGGGAATCGTTAACTTTCTTCCATAATTGAAGTGCAATGAACACGATTGGCTATTAGTTAGCGGGGTAGTAGTCTACACAAAATACTTTCGAGCGTTAAAAATCGATAAACGGTGCCAATATCTGAAGATAGATCATGACGTTCAGGAAGATCGTGTCTCGATAAGAACACATATATTGAGTGCCACGAGAAAAGAAAACTGGGCAGGAAAAGGGTGTATTGTTGGAAAAAGGAGACGCACGCGCTTATTGAAATTCTATCATGAAAAGATTGCAATAACATTATTAACACGTTCGATGTCGCGGAAATCATGATAATTTTGAGCACTCACCATTGTTAAGACTAACATTGTCGTAATATATTACTAATAACAATATAAAACAATGTGTTACATTTTGTTGGACCTAAAAGATTTAACTCCATGTAATTATTAACGATGTTCATGTATTTCCGGATTTACTAATTAAAGGAAAATTTTAGCATTCATAAATTTTCGACTGTACTCGCTCTGGTGTAAGAAGTTTCAAGCCAGGTGTTGCAATCAGATTGTTGTAATATAATTGTATTTAACCCAGTTGCAGAACGTTAAAATACAATTACGAGTTTTAATATCGTCATAAACGTTGTAAAATCAAACTAACAGATCATCTATGTGATCCACGTGACATTAAACGTGTTAAGCATGATTAAATATATGCGAATACGCGTTTTCGCATCTACGACTGCGGACAAGGTAAAGGATATGAATAAGTATCTGACCTCCTCGCTGGTTGATTTGTCCTGTCGTTGACTCGGAGATGAGGTGAGAAGATCAGGTAGGACAGAGCTTGGTCGTGATCCAGGGGACGAGTCCGATCTCTGGAAGTCACCTCCGCCTCCTCTTGACCGATCACCACCTTCTCGGTTCTGCAAAGCAATCGATCAACAGTTAAAAACGACTTCCAGGGTGACAAGCAGATGCCAAACGTAAAAAAGTAACAAGATCTGCTGAAGGATGAAGACCTGAACTTTTATCCTTTAATTACAACCTGCAGCCGTTAGGCTAACTTGCAAAAAACAACGAAGCAACCAAATATCTATTTGTATTTCAGAGGCAAACTATGTCAAGTCCACACTTCAGAAAATTAATCTTTTTAAATAGAACATTATATATTTCTATCCATACTAAAACAGCATTTATTTAGACTACAAGGTTCCATTAAAAAAAATTAATTTTATTCCTTTAGCAAACATAAGAGTTATTTCACATCACAAATAATAATATACAGGTTGAGTTCTGTTTTTGCTTTTGTGAGTATTACCAAAGAGTTACATAACATTTATAAATATGTTCTAAATTAACAATCTTTGTTTACTTACAGTAAATTCAGGCCTTGATACCACAAAACAGATTAAAATTAATTAAATAATTCGTAAGAGGACAAATTGAAAAACATGTTCGAGGAGCTCTGAACGGAAATGGTCGGAGTTACGATGAAACGAAGGACCACGAGGAACAGGACCATTAGAATAGCATTCGGAAACGAAAAAACGCAAGCAAGGGATGAACAAACGCAAAAAGAAACCGAAGGATTGTGTGAAAAAGCAATTTTATAAAAAATAATTACCGAACGAAATTTGAATAACGCGGACCAAATTTAACAAACTTTACTATGTAATCGATAAATAAGCCTAAGGAAAAAAAAATTCTGAACATTTGTTTTTCGCATACGCATAAAAAAACAATTTGTACTTAAGTATACAATACGAGTGCAAAACATAAATGAAATGAGTGCATGCAAAATGTGGATTAATTAACAAACAAACAAAATCGCTTCAACTTTCGTTTCGTCAGTCTACTGCGCAAAAAACATATAACAATACAATTGTTCTAAAGTAACAACGGATGCAGATTATTATAAGTAACTTGAAGTTCAAGTTTTTTTTTTTTTTTTTATATTACGTTTGTAACATTAGTAAAGCGTGCAACACGGGGAAATATAAAAATGTCTTACGTAAGTAATCGCATCATACATCAATTTATATAAATACACAAGTTTGTAACGGCTACATAGTTCAATCATTTCGCATTACATACTATTGAGAATTTCCTCGGGCGATAAGGATGTACACGTGTCACTTTGTTGCAAAATGAAATTAAACGAAACGAAAGTAATAACTTTGACTCGATTGGTGTCGATCAAGATACCAAGGAACAAACAACTATTTTTTTGTAAAGTAATATCATTAACACTATCGTTAAGAGTAAGGCTCAAAGGAAGATTATCCCGTTGCGACAGATGGTATTAAAAATACGGTAATCGCTATACTTCGATCGTGGCAAGTGCTTAAAAGTGTGATCGACGTAAATGTCTCCGCATACTTAAAAAAAAAAAAAAGAGGTCGACTACGCACAGTGTTTAAATTATTAAATAATACGAAACAAGCGCAACTGAAGGTACACATCTATTAGATATGTATATTTATCTTAATACAAACGATTCTACTTTCAAGCATCAGTATCTAACACAAGTAAGAAAATGTGCAGCCTCTTGTATCGTACACTAGTTTTAAAAATAATAATAATAATAAAAAGAAAACACAAATTGGCAATTCGCACCACGACCAAGGGGAACACACAAAATTAAAGCATGCTTGGCACATGCTGCGATATGGCAATACAGGTATACGTCACACACATTGTACACGCTATAAGCGTCATGCAAAACGATGAATTTCGGTCATAAGATACAACTCCGTACGCTTTTGCGAAAGGAGTGAATCCAACAATTATCAGTGATTAGCGATTGCTGTGCGTATATATTATATATGTATGCAGATATACATACACTTGGATACATAAATATAAATATACATATAACGTATAATAATTAATACATTTCTACATGTAATATTTACATTTATATACGTATATGTACTTTTCCCCTTTTATCTCAATCTAGCTCTTTTCGACGTTATCCTGGTTCTACTGTGGCACTTCTCTTTTTCTTTGCATACTCTCCGAGTATTTTTTTTTTTTTTTCTGTAGACATCTTTCCCTCTTTGAAAGTTCTTCATTCATGGCCGTGCAATTTTCAAGCAGATGATATTAAAATCTGTTAACACAGGACACACGCATACAGTCGGTGTATCGACGATCTCAATCGTTTCCAGCTTTATTTCCATTCCTCTATCTCTCTCTCTCGTAAAGTGGAAGAACTTCATTTGACATATAAAAGAGTGCGCCTGAGAAGGTAGCTCGCGAAAGATCACAAGAGGATTACGAGATGATCACATTATTTAATGCGAGGTTTCGTGTTCCTTGGAGACCAGGAAACATTTCAATGAACATGCATCGGATAGGACCATGGGATTAATCACACGCCTATCGTTTCTTTTTTTTTTTTTTTTTTTTCCTATAAACATAGAAGTGAAAGTGAACAGTTTGCAGAGAGATCACGAAGCATCCGTTAGCACGTGAAAATAACATTGTTAGACGTCAAAAAGAAAAACCGTGTCAATCTTTACAGAATTTTGATCCAATCGCAGAGACCTGGCGCATACAAGACTTAGTAGAAGCTTAATCTTTGCATTTGATGTAAATGTTATTTAACAAAAGAAAAACAACTTCTAAGCATTTGAGATCCTTTTATAAATTGGGGTTTTACATAATGCATACAGGGTGAGTCATCTAAGCTTCGTAACAAGGCGAAAATGTTTGGTTTAGGAGATGTAATTTTCGAGAATTTAACGAGAACAAAGTCTTATGAGACACACTTTCACAAATTCTTTTCGACTGCTCATTTTCCAGAATCCTGCGTTGTTCATATTTTCTTTCTTTTTTTTTTTTTATTTGTTGCAACGATCATGGCAACATTAGCAGTTTCCCCTCATAGGAGGGTGTTAACGTAGAAACAAGACAAATATATATATATATCCTCAAAGAAATTCCATGCGGTTAATCTCGTCCACTCAGGCATGGAATTCGAAACGACGATAAACGTTGTCGTAGAAGTAACGCCTGACGCATTGTTCTGCATAGGAGGTAAACATATGCATCACTCGAAAGGATGGAGAGGATTAGTACCAAGAGAAATGGAATCGTAGTAGCGATAGTAGTAGAGACGATGGCAATTATGGTACTCGAAACAGAGGGTTAGTGGTGTTGGTGATTATGGTGTCTTAGCGATCGCACCGTTCTATCTATGCCTTCGGATGACGGACATTAGGATTCCTGGATGTGAGGGCAACTGTTGTTTCGTGCTGTTTTACGCCACATTCGAAACCTCGATAGTGTCGAACTTGATCTTCGAGGAAAGATTTTTTTTAAAGTGGTTGTTTTCAATTGTGTAGACACACAAGGCATCTCGGTGATTCTGTTTCCTTTTCCAAATGTGGGGTGGATTGCATAAATCGATGATACACATTTCAAGAATATTGAGTCAAATTTTGAGAAATAGGTCTCTAGAATTGCTGGAGTTACAGAGCTCCCGAGCGTGGAGCAAGCTACTGAAACTTGTTCAATATTTTGGAAACTATCATGTGTAGGAAAATAGTTTAAAAATCCATTTGTGTAAATTACAAATAGAATACTTTTCGAAAGAGTCTCACCTTTCCCAATTAGTATCGAAGCTCAGAGATAATTTGTTAGTAATAATAGTATTACTATTAGTGATAGTAGTAGTAACGATAGAAGTAGCAGCAGCAATTGAAGCGGCAATAATAGTTATAATAATAATATTAACGATAAAATGATATATTGACATAAAATGTATAGAATAAAATGTTAACCCTTTGCAATTAAAATTGTCTAACGGGCACGAATTTGTACCTTATCGATTTCTTTGTAAACAAATTTACTATTGTTGGGATACATTTTGTCGCGTATCTTCATATTCCAACCGATTTCGTAAAAATGAACCTGTTCATATAAACATATCCACATCTTGAGTAAAAAATTAACTTGGAACCAGTGACCAGTAGAATGCAAATATAATTTAGGCAGCAAAGGGTTAAATTTAGGATATCTGAAGAGAAGTACAATTAATTGTCACGTTAGAGTGTTATTTTTCTGATCTAAATGTTCGTTCACGAAGTAATAGAAGAAATATGCGAGAAAATATTTGTTAATTATATAAAAATCTTCCCATCCTAGGTCAGAATAATAATACAACATACTATTACTGACAAAAAATGTAATCGATGTAACTATACCAAAGTATACATTAATGGTATGCCAACAATTCTCTATAAACTTTTATGCATCTCTGTCTGACGGAACGATCTAGTAAAATAGTAGAGAAGATAATAGTAATACTGATAGAATAATACTGATAGCACTAGTAGTTATGTATCGTTCCTACTCACATTTTTAAATGTTAAAAAAATAACGAAGACAGGGTTATTATAGGTAATTGGGAAATGCGCCTAAAATTCGAGCGTAGCTGACTAGCTTTCTATATTGATTGTTGTATGCTGTTAAATGTCGGAAAATGGATGTAAGAGTTCACTGAGAAATATGTCTGTCAATATCCTATTCTCATGTTTAAATTTGAATAAATGAATATGTTAGAAATTTATATAAGCGTGTAGTTGAATTCATGTTCAGTTGTCACATTTAGTTAATGATGAATTTACCAATTATTTATTTCAGTATACACCAAGGGCACAGTTTCATCGTAACAATATTAATTGTAATTATTGTCTAAACATAATATTGACTCTAATTTTTCAAGGTAACTACAACTCAGTCCAACGACATTAATACCTCGAAGTTTAAAGCTATTTGTATAAAAATAAATTATCGATACTCATCAGCGCGTGGTGATCCACCCTTGTTAGGGTGAAAACACTGTCCGTGACGCATACAACAGGGTTGGGATAAAAATAACAATTAGCTGAACTTTGCCCTTTCACCTTACTCTACTACGTATCATTAAGTTAAATAAAACATATCTTTTAATACTAAACTAAAAGTTAATAAAATGATAATTAAGTCAAAATGACAACTGAATATGAATTTAATATTACAATCTCACTCTTGACAAAGTGTAAACAATTAATTATCCTAGCTTTGACAAAGAAATATATACATCTAGATCGTAAAAGATCTTAGAATCCTATTAATAATTAAATTTTAGCAAATGTACACAAACCGTTTTCTATCATTTGTGCATATCGATAGTTTCGTTAGATACGAAACAGTTCGATACAAAATAATACTTTATGGTACAGCCTTGAAGAGTCCTGTCGAACAAATGTCGACGTCAACGTTGTTATAGGCATCGGCAATGTGACGAAAGAGGATCTCGATGGCTTTGTTTGAGAGCAAGTGACAAGTAGTGAGATACAATTAACACTTGATCAACAACGTCGATGTCGTCGCTCGTATAGGAAGGGCTCTTAAAGTTGCACATCACTGGAAGCGTTCAAAGTGGGCTCCTCCTTCAATGAACAGAAAGGCTACACAATATCGTTTGTAAAACTATCATTCCTGCCTCTATACAGTACTGGTTTCCGTATCTTTTGGAGTGTGCTCGTTAAAAAAAAGAAGAAAAAAGAAAAATTAATTCAGACACGGTCATGTAATTGGTTGAAACTTTAAGAATTGTGAGAAATCATGTTGCTTTTGCGACTTATATGGTTCCTTGGAATTTAACAGAACAGAAAAAAATATTCTTTTTGTAATTTTCATCCTTTTATCAAATAGCACTCTTGTCGAACTATATCTAACTACATGTATCAAATATTTGTTTACACCCTGAACAAGAGATGTACTGTAATTTAAAACGTTATTTAAATATACACGGTGTCCCAAAAGTTGGAGTTGGATCACAAATTTAAATTAACTCATAAAGTAGCGACCTGTGACCTACTAGAACAGATACATTGAAAAAAGATATCAGTATATCGACAGACACGTCGGGGATATGTACGGATGTCGTGGGAAATGAAGATCATGAAGGTATAGAGACCGAAGGTATAGACAAAAGGTAACGGCGGTAGATATTTCTCAGGCAAGCACACAGGCAGGGCTCGTAGGGGGGACTGACCTGAGTGACAATGGGGCTGTACTCGCTAGCCGTTGTACTGGCCGTAGATTTTATAGTTCCTGCTTCGTCAACAGCGGCAGAGACCGCATCTGATGGTCTACAACTGCGTCTCCTCGTAGTGTCGTCTTTATCGCGTCCAAAGTCGAACCTTCTGGCCTCGTGTCTACTACCGAAAACGATCTCGCTCTCTGTCTTTTCTCTTCTAGGCCTTTGAAGACCGTCACGGTCGAATGAAAAGTCTGTGAGTACCGGTTCACCGGTACTGACAGCATTGCCCTTTTTACCAGCAATGCCAGCAACACTTATCTCGCTTCCGCGCCGATTACCGCTTGCGAATATACTCGACCTTGAGGAATCCGACTTCTGTAAATACGCAGAGTGTCTTGCGGATGGAAAAAAATCGGAATTCTCACGGCGGAAAGCACGTGCAAAAGCGCTGGACGTATTGCCAAGCTTCGAGTCGCTTTCTTGTCGTCTATGCACCGGTTTTAACTGCTGCTGCTGCTGTTGTTGTTGTTGTTGTTGTTGTTGTTGTTGTTTCTGATGATGTTGCTGTTGTTGCTGATTTTCGTACTTCCTACGTGACAACTGCTGCTGTCTCTTCAAGGTTCTCTCGGTAGACGACGAAGAAAGATCCTCGCTACCAGACTTATTCGTGTCGGGCGTTTCTTGTGGGTGTTCTTGTTGTTTCATCTTATCCAACCTTTCGTTAAAACCCTGGAAGAAGCGGGTGAAATCCCACTCCTTCAGGAGTAGCTGCTCGTCTGCCTCGGAGCGCCGGTTGCTGCTAGCCGTAGCGCGATCGTCTGACATCTGACTAAGTTTCTAGGGAGGCGCGCACGAGAATAATAATATGGTAACCAAAAAAAAAGGAAAAAAAAAATAACACAAAAGCGAGAAAAAGAAATGCGTGCGGCGATACATAACGTGAGGTAGCTGTGATGGCAGTGCAATGCAATGATAAAGTTAATGTAATTGCATTTACAACGGTGGCGACACGTTATAATCAATTAAGCGAATAACAAAATTATTTTTTAAATTTCGTATTATACAACCATTTTTAACAGTCGTTGTAATGGTATTATAATATGCTTGAACGCGGACGTAATAACGTCAATTCCAATAAAGTTCAATGAGGGAATTGTATAGAACTTTGCGTATGATACACCTTGCAGCCCTACTAATTCAAGGATTAAGCTGAGCTTAATTTAAAATTTTTTTTCTTCGGTGAACTATAGTAGCAATTTTAGAAACTATAAAAAGTAACAATTCGTCAGATCTGTCGGCAAAGAAACCTCTTCATGGAACAAAGGTTAAGAATCGCACGATTTACAAATTCCGTATTTGTTCTTCGCTTATTGTTTTTTAACGTGAATCATTAAGATTTCACCACCGCAGCAGCAGTACCTATGACGACACATACTCATCAGTTGTACACAACTGTGCAGGAATGTATCGTGTGACAGCAAATGTACCATAGGAAGCTAGAAAGAATATTAACAAGATGAGTCCTCACACGCTCCACTCAATGTCCACCTTTTATGCTACTCTCGTCCCGAACAAGATTATACAATATATTTAATTAAGGATCAATTCAATTATAAAATTTTTTTAATCAATTGCGTTAAAACAGTCGAATTGCAACTTTCTTAATAAGGGTACTCAGAATAAAACTTTCGATGAAAATAAATCAATGTTCTTTAAAATAAAAATTAACCAATTGAAGTTTATAAATTTTGAAAGATTATATAAATGTTTAAAAGATACTAATATCCTTTTGCTAATATTCTTTCCAGCTCCCTACAATATACAGACAACGCACCATGGTGTATCATAATTGCACAAAATTCAATTACAACAATTATTTGTAGTGAATAAACACAGGTAAACAAATATTACTGACTTATCTCTGGATATCAATAAGCATACAATATAGATACATAAAATGAAGAAATGTACAATGCAATCGCTTGTATTTCCTTCCCTTCTTTCATTTGCAACTGAATCGAGACTTAACATGTAAGATAGCTCGTGAAATCGGAAAGACTGAAGAAAAATACATCGACTGCTCTATTAAAACATAATTAAATAACATAAGAGAGGAGGTTACATTCAGTCAGTATTTGGAGATATCGATTCATGTCGTTATTAATAAATGTAGATAAATCTCACATAACATTCGAAAACGAGTATCAGAATAAGACTAAAACAATAGACCTCAGCTTGCATCACATACTCGGATGGAGTACTTACCCGTTTCATGACTAGTGTACGATCTGATTCTTCCTCGTCAGGCGTTGGCGGAAGTGGTCGATTTGGTGCACCGCCTAAAGAGAACATTTACAATTTTTCGTCTCAAATGAATTTATCAATGGCAAAAAAAAGTAACCTAAAATACATGACACAATTGTGTGCATTTGTGAACTAATTCATAATCAAAGGTACTCATTCGAACAGCATAAAAACGTTATGGAAAAAAGTATAAGGTATACGAACGCTCATGAGCCATACTTTATTTTCACATTGTGTTTTTGGATATAGTTTTATCGAAAAGAGAAAGAAATTTTATTTGGATGTCCTACCTTTGGTCTTACCTTGATGATGTGAGTTCTGGGCATTATGTGAGGACATCGACGATGGATCTGTAGATGGTCTGAAAGGAGAAAATTCGGGTCTGCAGCAACGGATATAGAAATGTGGAGACACATGATGGCGCACGAAGAACACGGAATGCGTTGCGTACGTTGCGTGGCGATGCGACGAAGACGTCAATGCGAAGCGATATGTTGAAGCGTAATGAAAGATGAAACGGAATGACATTAGTATGATTAATTTAAGAACCACAAGTAGAAATTATGTCTATAGGTATAATTATGAAATACTCTTCCATCGAGTATCATATTAAATATAAGAAAAAGGATTTGACAGTCTTGAACAAGTACTTTGATTATGTTTGAACTCACGTGTTTTGAGTCATCATTACAATGAACACAATCATATGATAAATTTCGTGTTCAAGATTGTCTAATTATCTATCTTATATTTATTATCTTATATTATACGTATAACCTTTTTTAATATTTTATCATATTAAAAGTTTACTTTACATTAAATGTTAAATTAGTAATTCCTGCGTCTCTGGATGTTAACTGTTAAGACAACGATCAAACAAATGACAAATTTTTTTTAGTATATAAGAGTTTATCAAAAGACTGAATATCTTGCATTAAACTCTTTCAAACTTTGAACAATTTTAGATTCACCAATGAAATGATTACTAATCCCTTGTAAATGTAATCAACAAATTATTGACTGATTTATTTGGTAGTGATTAGTAGCGAACATTCAACATTATATTTCCAGAGACCAACATAAACGTTGTTTATAACTCGATTAAAACTATATTAAATTTTCGATAAATCAGATTTCTACTCACAAAGGTTTCGGTGGGTCGCTCGCGAGTAGAGTTCCATCGTTCCTCACGTTGTTTCCTCCTGCATCTTCAAGATCGTCATCGCTATCACTTTCAACAGACAAAGCCTGTAGGAGGGACAAATGTATTTATTTCAATTTCGATGATGCATCGCACAATGAAACGTATTAACAATTACATACACTCCGATTTAACTTCAAAGTACTGTAAAGGTTTTGCAGAGAGAAAGGACAAACGATAAGTCGTGTATCTTTTTTAATAACATTTTAAACACGAATGCAGTAATTTTCATTTTCAAGTAACCAACCGCTAACTTAACATTGTCCGTTGATTACAAAATGAATAGGTCGAATGACCATGTCTCTGCGTGTGATTGTAACACTTACTTGATCAAGAATACTAGAGGATTGCGGCATCTGTTTGTTGTTCTGATCGTTACTGCTTGCCAGCTGAACAGAATTCGATGTTGACGATGCAGCAGGGCCCTTATGCTGTCTGTTCGGCCTTGGCGGGGCCTCTGGGCCCTGTGACACACCAAGCTCGTTGAGTTGAGCGGCCAGCATGTCCAAGTCCTACCACCCACACGCACACACGCACAACCCCGTTAGTCACTGTTTCGAGACACCTCCGAAAATTTTCTAAAAACCACCACCGAACAGCCAAGCAAGGCAAAAAGAGAAAAAGTGGCCGAGTAGACAAATAGTGTGTGTCGCTTAAGCGACGTGACGTTGGTACTGACATTTTATTATCAGTATCGTAGAAATGACTACACACAACATATTCGATATGATAAACATTAATTTATAGCAAACGCTTAAGTTTATCTTATTTATACAAATATCGGTATCTGAACACACACGAACAGTTCTTATCAGATCGTGTGGAAAGTTAATGCTGTTTCCCGGCTCAGTACATAAGCAATAAATACCCAAATTACATACTTGAAAATACAAGTGTACACAACCTTTTCAAAACAAGCTAGGACTAAACTACAAACATGAGTGCATTTTATCAATAACTTTGATATGTATAAAAGTATCCTAAATACAGACAGAACCTTTACATTAAGGTATACCACAATCTGCATTATATCAAGTTTTTATATTCGTTAAAATCTAATAAAAATATAAAAAGAGTATATTGCTCGAAACATGAAGGAACGTGTTGTGTTTGCGCATCTAAACACTGTTTAACTATACCAAAGTGAGAGCATACATTCAAGTGATTTGAGTGAAGCATACCAAAATTTAATATTGTGCTCAAGCGTTCGAACATCGAGAAGACTATGATGGATGAATTTTGTTAGAAAGAAAATTGAAAAATCGGTTAGTATTCTGCGTGAAATTAAAACAAGCGAATCGCATGTTGGTAAAATGAGGATTGCTCTATATGGCTCGTGTAGAGTGATCGTTTTGTAAATTACCTGTACACATAATTGGCAATGTTACGTGTAACAAAAAAGAGAAGTGAGTGTGATTGATCGTATGTATAAATGTAGGATTAAAATGTAACATGTAAAGAGAAAAATAAGTGTTGTGTTCTTACCTCCGGCCTCCTTGGCGGCAGCTACGGTACGTGTGAACATGGAAAAAAACAAAAACCGAATAATTTCAAATACGAGTGCTGGGCGCCCGCGCGTGCATTGTTATCGTCTGATGTACACGTGTATGAATGTGTGTGTTTGCCGCATACGTGAGTGCGTTTGTGTGTTTAGCGCACTAAGAAACAATTGTGCGTCTGTATTCTGCGCGTTTATGGACGTGCACGCCGTGATGGCAAAATAGAACGAAACTTCGCGTGCAATTTCAATTATAAGAATACAGCAAAAAAAGAAGACACAAGAGTGTATACATAACAAAATGTATTACACAGAAGAGAGTTGGGTCAGTGAAAGACAGCGAGATGGCAAAGTAAAACATAACTAGCATGTGCCTTTCTACAATTTGTCATAATCCAATGTAGTTTTCTGACTACATATATTAGTTTGTTCTTATTGGCGCAAGGTAAAATGCCGGAAAGAAGTTACAATATCAAAGAGAGAAACAGATATGGAATTACTCCGCGTAAAAAAAAAGTGAAAGAAGCCTACCATAGGTTTGAACACGTGACTGTTTCTTTGAGAGGCAGATTGACCGCCAGAGCTTCCACTACCGCTACCAGCGACGGGTGGCTGATGATTGGAAGGTGGCGTGGAAACTTTATGTGGTTGTCGTGGATCGTCTCTAGGCGTCGGTGGTAATGGTCGTGACGGTGGTTGCGGATCTGGAACTACTACAAAGCACAAAAAGCGACTAGTATGAAACTGACAACGTAGAGTAAACTGTCTCATTTGCGATGTCTATAAACACAGTTTTATCTACAACAAGAGATTAGATATATTCGATACACTATCAAACACACCGATTAGTCTGTGAGGAATGGCAGGTCGTGCAGGCGGCCCTGGCTCTGGTATGTCTCTTTGAGATCTGCCACTCGGTTTTTCTTTAGCGGCAGGTGGTTGAGGAGCTACGTCTTGAGTTAGAGTCCTACCTTCCTGAATTTGTTGGAAATTTCTACGCAACGTATCGCCACCAGGAGCTTGAACAATGGATGACGGTTCGCCAGCCAATGCTGGCTCATCCTCCTCATTTTCACTACCACTGTATCGATAATCGTCCCTTTCTATAACAAAATAAAGAAAAATGTGACGTCAACTAGATTTAGATGCTTACTCGTTAATTCTTCCGCTATTTTTCGTACCTTTTTCTTGTTTACGTTTTTTACAGCGATCGATATGGTCTTTAAGCTGTATCCTCACTTGTCGCTCAGTCGGTTGGTCCCGGATAAACGGATGTTTAAGAAGCTGTTCCGTATACGGTCGTTGATGATAATCTTTTACTAACACTGTTTCGATAAAACTATGGAATTTCTTCGCCCATTTTTTCGACTTCAGTCTTGGTGGTGGGTTACGTGGAATCAAAAACAGGGCCTTTTGTGTGAATAAAAGCGAAAAATTATGTATTACTATCCTTTTACAGTAGCAATAATAAGAATTTTAATACTTGCCCGCATTGGATGAAGATCACAAAGTGGAGGTTGCGATTCAGCCATTTCCAAAGCAGTAATACCGAGTGACCAAAGATCACTTCTATTGTCATATGTGGCATCAGGGTTTTCATCACATGCTATTACTTCTGGAGCCATCCAATATGGCGTTCCAATAAATGTATTTCTTCTACCTATTGTTCTGTCTAACTGTGCACTGACACCAAAATCAACTGTAACCCAAAAGGAATAATTTAATGATTCATATTCTGCACGAGTGCAAGATCGCGTTTTATATAGGAGAAAAACGCACCTAGCTTAACTTCAGCATTGTCGGTTAACAGAACATTTTGGCCTTTGATATCCCTGTGAATAACTTTATTGCTGTGAAGATAACTAAGTCCCCTCAATATCTCCCTTGATATATAAGCAATCCATTCTTCTTTCAAACTCTGGCCCTTTGTTGACTTGACAAGATCCGTAACGGAGCCAGCTCCGCAATACTCCATAACCAACCATAACTGATCATCCTTTCCAGGCGATGACTTCTTCACGAAGGCACCATAATATGTTGCTATATTTCTGTGATTGGAATACTGCAACAAGAATGACAAACAATTTAATTTTACACGTAACAACGCGCCCGGTAGCAAATTAAGTACTGATACTCACCCGTTTTAATACATTTATTTCTAATTTGATTTCTTCCTCTTCATCCTAAAACAAACACAATAACATTATACGTAAGCCAGCGTATATTTTTATTTTGCATTCGCAATCGATCGATAATATATTTATCACTGATATTATACATACATTATGTAAGTCATAAAGTAATAAATAATAAGATTTCTTGATTTTTTTATTAATTTTTTTTTTTTAAGAAGGCTTAAAGCTTTATTTTAAATTTTTATTTCATGATAGTATTCGAAAGAAATTTAAATTAATGTTTTTGCAGCTGAAAAAAAATCCATGACTCCTATTCTTCAAGCATATGCAGTTTCATCAAAGTCAACGTTAAGTATTTAGCAAAGCATTTCTTGTTAGTCTTGTTTCAATATTATGCATTATAAAAGAAAGGCCGTATCGGTTGACACGCGGCAATTAGTCTTAAAGATAAGCCAGAGTAGAGTACAAGACACAATATGGAACAAAACAAACATGGAAATCGAATAACCAGACAAACGGTCCGAAATTAACAGCAAGAGCTGATTGATGAAGGTGAGATCACCATACATTCAGAAAACATACGTCGACGTGTAATGGACGGATAGCTGGAAGAAAAGCCATACGTTAAAGCTGAGAACCGGAACATGCAACTATTGACTCGAGGTCTGTCATCTTGTTAGATGAAATTTTATGTAAAACTTTATGTGCAAAAATTGACTGCAAATTCGAATATAGAAAATAGCTTTTGTTAATTTTATGAACTCTCTAATACTGTACCTCAATCAAAATCTCTCGGAAAAATAAATGAAATTCGATAATTGAGAAGAGAAGAAAAAAAAAAGAGGGAAAAATAATTCTTTTTGTGAAATTCGATACGCGATGGAATGTGGTATCCCAATAACTCGCTTAACTCGTCGTACACTGGTTTCAGGATTTTCCACCGCGTATTGAAGAACTCGTTCTTCATTTACATTCGAATGCGCGCTCCTTGCTCTTCCTCTATGCGCTGTCAGGCTCTAAGTGACCATTATGTCAAAGACTCCGCATTATCCACGGAAATATTTTCCACATTATAGACTGCCTGTGCAAATGTGTTTCGTTCTACCGGTTCAAGAGATAATTATGTGAACACGTAATGGAAATGGTTTGTCATTCAAGTTATCAAACCAGGCCTATCGATATCGGTTTAAGTTTTACTTTGTTATGCAGTGTGTTTCCTTCAGAGTGAACAATTGGAACATCTCCGTAACCTTTCAAGATCATACGAAACTTCAAGGTCGATTAATCCCAAGGAAATAAATACCAATGTTTACATGTATTGTAAAAATAAATATATATTTTTAGCTATATATATGTGTTTGTGATTATTGTTATTAGTAATAGGAAATCAATTTAAATTACAATTATATTTTAGAAACAAGTACTCACTTCTGTAACGTCCATAACTTTAATGGCTGCCAACTGACCGGTCTTGGTATGTCGACCCTATAAAATACAAAATACAATAGTATTATTATTATTATTATCATCATCCTTCTTAAACAGACTTCACGCTAAATTATCGTAAATAACGACAATGCATTTAAATGTAATAGTTTAATATTTTCTGATATTATTTCAAAGTTTACTCCATAATTTCACTCTTTCATTTTTTATGTCTCTAGGTGACACTCATTTAATTGTTTTCTACGATTATTGTTAATTTATCTATTTATCCCCTCCTCCTATTACTATTCCATTCATACTTCGTCTAATTCACAGAATCAATTCGTACAATTTCTCTTTCATTGTGTTTTGGAATGACTTTTGAAGGACTAGGTGACTGTATATACTAGGTGACTTTACGATCCTACACTTTGTCGGGTCTTAGTAAAGAATGTCGAGTAACGTGCACAGTTTGCTTCAATTGCCATGAAAACTCATTGATTCCCCCAGATTGGCTGAACGCTCACGTTCACTTAAACGTTTACCACGACCCATTTCCTTAAATAAATTTTGCAAGGCGATATGACACATAAACAAGGTTCAGAATAAAGGTGTTGCCATCAGAGCTTCTCCTATGGTGATTTATTTTCAAAGATCATTCGTACGCACGAGTTATTCGGGGGTGCAAATAGATACTGGTACGCAATTAGGATAAACAAATAGAAATGCAAAGTATCGTAACATTTTAAATATTCCAGGCAAAAACCTAAAGCAATCGAGCATAATCGCCTCTTTCTTTCCACTGTTCTTTCGACTTCATACGTTCATGTCTGATTCGATACTTCATTTGCATCAAGAGTATTTACTCTCTTTAATCCTTTCAACGCCACATTCACCTACTCCATGCTTATCTCGTCCACTTCCGTCCACTGCCGCTCTCCTTCGCTTCTTATCTCTTCGCATTTCGCTTCTCGTCATCCATCCCCCCCCCCCTCTCTCTCTCTCTCCCTGTAAACTCGCACACTATTCCTTCAACATACTCTGCCACACATTCTTGGTTAACTTCTTTACAGTTTCCTCCGATCTTTCCTCGTAAGTGTAACATGCTCATATATTTACGGTCATTCATACTTTTAGCACGTCTTGGCCTTCCATTCCCTTAAGGGGGAACAAAAATATATCTACGAAAAAATTTAGTTGGAATGGTATATAAGTGTATATGTATGTACTGACTCATTTCACTAAAAATCCATTTATCTGATTACTAAGCGTGGCGTAAAATAATCAATTCTGATAACTCAGTAAATAGTTCTTGGTTCTAGAGTCACAACCGATTACCAGATCATCGCTGATAACAATCATTCGTCACGAGGAATGTTTAACAATGATTGCTAAAGTACATACCGGGATGATTTCGAAGAATCAGGTATTAGCACTGAATGTGTGACTAATGAAAAAATTCCTTCTACGCTGGACAAGGAATTCTTCGATATCGAAGAAACCACGGTGTATGACATACAAATTTTTTTTTTTTTTTTACTGCGAAATCGGTGAATTTCAAAATAGTATTCACGCAATTTCCTATTAAAATACCTGCTTGAAATGGTAGTCGCTTAACCCCTCGCCTTACGATTTAATTTGTGACTGCGTGAGCCATAATCGGATACGAAATTTCTCACGCGTCGAAACAAAAGTCCAATTTACCTTGGCCGATCGGCTACAAGCCAACGTAATATAGAAAGTTTCAAAAATGAATTCTTTTAAAAAGACATAATCATTAAGCAATGAAACAGAATGCAATCGAAGCAATGAATTCCGCACACAGCTTTTCTTTTCTTTACTTTGTTTCAATTCTCTACTAATCTTGATTTTTCCTTTGGATATCGTTTATATATTCTTTTCTCTACAATTGCTTTTAACAATTGTAGTCGTTCAAAGCTAACTTCGAGTTCTTCTCGATCAGTTCCTATTTTGGACAATTCAGTTCCAATTCATAAATCGGTAGAAATCGAAGACACGGCGCTGATCATGCGTATTCATGCGGCCGCGTGTTTTATTCGTTCTCTGTCGTCATCAGCAGTAGGTCATTGTACTCTTCCTCGCTTCGCCTGATTATCTATCATCGCATAGCACAAAAGTAATATTAACAATCGCATATGCCAAATTGAAATAACGCAAAATGATACGTATACGCAATAAATTGCTTTTTAACAAATACAATCACAGACCGCGCGTTTCGTGGTGCTTGAAATCGGGAATTATTTGATCGTCGCTGATTGTCTCAAATAACATCACATCACGTGAAATCAAATCGCTTGAATGGAAGTTTTCTACTCGTATAACTCAATACTAAATGTATCGATAGGATAAATTTTTACATAATTAGAAAATCAGAAGAGAATATGTTCAATGAAAAAATTTCACCTCAAAATTCTATGTAGTATTACCGAATAATTTACCAACGGCAAACGTACCAAATTTACCATAACTCGAAAAATGAATTGAAAAAAAAATATTTGTTTACGACGGTCGCAGATAAATTTCTCGCTAAAAAGTCGTAAAAGTAATCGTAACCTTGAAACTTAAGATAAATCTTGTTTACACGACGTGAAAGTAGACAATTCTCAAACGAAATCGTATTGTAACAAAGGAATCGATAATTTAAAAAAAAAAAAAAAAAAACACTTGTTATTTGTCCGGTTTATTCCATTCGTCTTCGACGCGAAGTGTGATTTCGTTTTGTAATTCAAATTTTATTTTTACATTGAACAAATAGTAGTTCGAAAATTGTTTTTAATTTTTTGTTCATTATCCGAGATTTCTGTTCGGATAAAAATTTCACCTATCTCTGATGTACACCAATGGGTACTATATGTATATATGTATACAAGGGTGGAGGCTCTTACGCGGCTTCATCCCCCTCTAAGCGTCGTGTTGTGTCGTACAGAACACGCACGTACAAGCAGCATTGCCGCGTATGTGTACAGTAATAGGTAACTTGGTGAAGAAAGCACTCTAATTGACCAGAACTTGAACACGTTTTTCTGAGAAAATGATTCATTTGAAACATACAGCACCATCGAAACTGTTTACATTCTCGTTGCATGGAACACGCGCAAATTAAAAAACAATTTCGATCGTTGAATTTTAATATTAAAATGTCTTTAACTACAGATTTTAAATAACGAATCTCGACCGCAAATTTATCCGTTAAAGCAATATTTTTCACCCTGTATTATTCACCTCCTTCTAGCTGAGATTCTCGACCTTTTATATACACAACTGTTTTTCACACACAGCTGTCCATCCAAGGACAATTTTGCCAAGAATTTTTTCAAGGTGAATCACTGTCTCCTTCAACCTCAACTACAGATGAGATTAGATAGTCTCATCCTTGTACTTTAACCAACACAAATACCTATCTAGATGTGTACGATTGGGATCAAATAAGATAAATAGAACAATTAACAGAGATCCAGTGATAAAACTCTAGATAAAAATAATATAATGCTTAAAATGATGACAATCACATTGAAAAGATTATACATCACTTTTTCAATTATCTATTTAACGCTCATTATAAAGTAATTAATATTTTCATAGATCACTTCTTAGACTGCTTCTATAAGTTAAAAAAATATCAAAAATTAGAACTTCCAAAATTACAGACTGTTAAATATGATTGAATACCTATAATAATAATTCTATATCTTAAGATACAACTTAACTCTCCTATGACACTATTACCATTCAATGTTATTATTTTTTATATATATATACAAAATCTTTCAAAGCACACTTAGTAATCAAGGTACCTGCAAACCTACTATTAATGTACTTACTTTATAAACTTGACCGTATGTTCCATTGCCGACCACTTCAATTAGCTCAAAGATACCTGCAGGTTCCTACAACATAAAAATACCAAGGTGTATGTAGATATGAACTGTGTTGGTGTTACAGTGAAATGCACATTACAAACAAAATGTTCCAATGAAAAGTGATAGAAGTCATAATAATTACATTGATGATAGAAAGAAGAACAACAAATGTACTAATTTCTGTACAATTTATATGTGTACCTCGACTAAGTACAAAACATACATTATTCAAAAAATAACTGATCTAAACAACTATATGTAACATGTTTTACATAAGGCATGAAAATTTGTAAACCAAATTTATGTAAGTTTTGGTGAAACCAGCAATTTTCATTATCTTTAAATATAATACATGCAAAAAAAAAGAGAATTTCAATGGTGCAAGTACACGGTTTCTTAATATGGTTGAATGTTTTAAACAAAAATTGTGTGTCGCACCTATTTACAATATTACACGTCAACGAATTCGATGATCAGTATAAATTCTATAAATCACTTTCGAAATGACTGTCAGTAAAATATAAGGCATGCCTGTAACATGTACAAGTTTTCCCGAATGACAGAAAAATTCAAGGCGAACTTCTCCCTCCCGTTGTTCTACCGAGAAGAAATAGTCATCGCCTGTCTTACGAGGTTAATTACCGAACACTACATTCGTTTAAAGTACGCGGAGAACTGCCGTATTCAGAGACGCCGAGCATCGAATACAAAATACCTATACGGTATGTAGAATGAAAGTAATATACATTTACGTACCTTCAAAGCGTTTAGATCAATGTCGTCGAGCGAACAGTTGACGCTCGGTGCCAAATTATGCGCCATCTTGATACACCACTTGCGCTCCTCGCGTTATCTCTCGTACTCGAGGCTCGCTGAATCCGCCGTCTATCCTTTTATCCTACGTCTCCCGTTATTGTTCTCGTTCTGGCCCTCGGTACAAACGGGGCCCAAAAATGCAGAGGTGTTGAACGAGAAAAAAGTATCTTCCCACGCTTACACTAACACGAAACACTAAGATCACAAGTGGTAATTCTTGTTAAAACGATCCAGCGATATTTTTCTGGAAATTTAACCGAGAATAGTCCAAAGAGAGAGGAAACACGCGTGGCAATAGCACATGGCGTACGGGTAACTCTTTAACGATCAACGAACGAATCAGTTTACCAATCAAATTGGAAAACGATGTGAACCACCTCCATCACGTTTCTTCTGGGTTCTTCATAAAACAGAATCACGTCAGTTACGCATAATCACAAACAACTTATTGCCCGGTCGCAGCGCCAAGCGCTGGATCGTATCGTCATAACGGAAGCGGCACAACCGAGCCGAGCCCAAACACAACGGCGGCGGCCGTTCTACGTCCTGTCTTACTGCACGCCTCTTTTCTCCCTTCCTTTGCGCTCTCTCGTCTCGCTCTGTCTTCTTCGTTCTTAAGCGTGCGCACATATACTTTTCTTTTCTCTCTTCTTTATGCAGAACAAATATTTTCACCGTCTTTGTTTTTCGTGCGCTCGTGATCGCACACCCGGTAACACTGATTCGTACCGTATGAGGGGAAAATCACTAGCGACATCTACCCCCTTTTTCTTTACACCAGGAATCTTGGTCTTGCGCGCACAGATGTTTGACAGCTGCGCAGAATATAATGCGCGAAAGTATTATGCTGTTGAGCGCATGACAGAGCAACTTTAACCTTACGAAACCTCATCGTGACTAACTCACGATAAGTCCTATAAATCGCTAAGAAACAATAATACTCTGTTAACAACTTATGACACGTACAAATTAAAATAGGTTATCAATTCATGGATGAAATTTTTATTTATTTTTTATTTCATTATACTTTAGGATTCGGTTGATAATACATGTATTAGAAAAGCTGGTTAGAGAGTTATATAGGTAACAGTATAATCTCCTTGATTATACTATACAATTCTACAATATCTACTAGGAGATTATACTGTTACCAATTAGACCCGTTAGCCAACTTCTCATCTATGAACAGTATATGCTCCTAATACATTTTGCTCATTTAGATAATAACATATATATATATAAAATACTCAAAATAAAAGTGTCATTTCTACTGCTTCGCAAAATTGTATATTACTATTCATACATAACGCTCGTACATTGGCTTAATAGGCAGCAAGATAATTATTCTTATCTCTGTGTTGGTTTGTAGAGTGCCATGTATCGAAATTAATTCAGAAAACGTTCAAATTTGCATAAGTAGAAGATATTGACAGAGCATTATTATTTCACAGCGACTCGTGTAATCTGTCACGTACAGTTAAATGCATAGGGTCTAAGCGTGTAATATATTGAATCTACGTTTTTACTTAGTACACATTTGATAGATAGCGCCAGTAGTCATTGCAAGCACGTACTTTGTGCATCAGTGAATACGAACGATTGACCCCCTACAAATTTTCAGTGTCCATGGACCGCCGGTGTCGCCATCAAGTGTTGAATGATAATACAACAAATATTGGATATCTGTTGGTAAGACAGGGAGACGTTTTACCAAAACTAAACAGACGTTTATGATTAGATTTTCAGACACATGAACAGAAGAACCTGAAACAGAAGAAACGTATATTATTCTCCTTCCTTGAAAAATATAAAAAAAATCCGTAGAACGTCTTCCTTTTTTCTTCTTGCCCTAACTAAAAATACAAAGTTACTTTAAAACGGACGCGATTTATCAAACGCAACACTAATTGCAAACGCGATTCATAGTTACTCGCAACACTAGCCTGAAAGTTCCGTTTGCATCGTGATCGCAATGACTCCTCAAATCCACCTACAGGTGCAGGTCATACAGGTGGCTTTTCGTATAGTAACGCCTGCGAGCAATCGAAGCTACATTTATAACGTGTTCTCCAAGCACGTTACTCTCCGATTGGCTGGGATTTGCATGGTGGGGGAGAACTTTCTCGAGAAACGTTTACTGCTTGCGCACGGTGTGGTCGGTTAGGTCGGTTAGGGGATAGAATATCTAACCTGCGCAACCTACGTCGAACAGGACAGTTCTCCCACCATTTAATTCCCAGCCAATCGGAGAGTAACGTGCTTGGAGAACACGTTATAAATGTAGCTCCGATTGCTCGCAGGCGTTACTATACGAAAAGCCACCTGTATGACCTGCACTTGTAGGTGGATTTGAGGAGTCGTTGCGATCACGATGCAAACGGAACTTTTAGGCTAGTGTTGCGAGTAACTATGAATCGCGTTTGCAATTAGTGTTGCGTTTGATAAATCGCGTCCGTTTTAAAGTAACTTTGTATTTTTAGTTAGGGCAAGAAGAAAAAAGGAAGACGTTCTACGGATTTTTTTTATATTTTTCAAGGAAGGAGAATAATATACGTTTCTTCTGTTCCAGTTCTGTTCTTCTGTTCGTGTGTCTGAAAATCTAATCATAAACGTCTGTTTAGTATGTTTCAGTTTAAGCTTCAGAAATTCTTCCTGGGATCATCGATTACAACAAAAAGTGTAGTACTACAGTAGTATTAAGTGTGTAGATTATTGCATGAACGCATTGTACAATGCTCGCTCTTTCGCTTCTTGCATTTTTCTGTAGCATGTTACTTGCATGAGTGGCTTGTTGGTTGCATGTATATTTTTTTTTTTTTTTAATTTGGGGTAATCCACTCCCGGTCGGGGCGGAGGACACACATTTAAGGATGGCTAGCATGTGTTTTTATCTTGGCCACCCAATTTGGGTCTCCTTATGCAGCAACCTCCACGTGGTGAGACCTGGTTCCTCTATATTATTTAAAGTATGTAATTGCTAATTGCATCACCAGCTGAAGTCAGATGATATTATCAATTGCATACTAAATAATATGAGCTAATGGCTGCAATTTTTCTCGTTTATATATTATTTCTATAGAAAAAATTGACTTTCAACAGTTACGATTAATACTTCATTATTCTCTTGGATGAACGAAAAGGAGACAAACAGAGTCCCTGCCGTTTTATTTTCTTTATTTTATTTTATTATCTCTGCCAATATTACCAGTTTTTTCTATAGAAGTAAGCTTATGCTTAAATACTCACGATGGCGACACCGGCGTTTTACCAGTGGTACATTACCACTGAACTGTAGACTCTATAGTATAGTGTTTAGTGCTCAACTTTTGATTTACCGCCAAAAGTAAGTGACACAAAGTGACAGTAAGCATGATTATTCCGATTAGAAGGTATTCTTATTTGTAATTAATGTAGTAATAAATTTATCGCGCAATCTCATTGACAAGATTTTTGTGATTTTATAGAGACGGCGAACTTGAAGAATGGGCAATCATTGAATTACAAGGCGATTTAAAATTTGCTTCTTCAGATACTTCAAATAAATATATAGGGGACCTACACTTTACAAAGTCCGGTACACCGATACTGATAATCGGTATTCACGTACTACATGGGAAAGAAGTAGGGCTTACAAAACCATTTGCTGTTTTACAGAAGAAAAAAAACGAAATAGATGCAACAGCAAATGAATCAGAGATCAAAATTGAATACATTGTGAAAGCTATTGTAACAAAGAAATTGGTATTTAGATCAAGACCAAAACCAATTGTAAGAAATGTTCCAAAATTTAGTTAAATCTATTTTTCTTACAAAATGTATTATATCTTATCAATACATTATAAATTTCAATTATTTCTAGAAAAATAATATGTTACTAACAAAGAAATTTCAGTAGATCTAGGAAAACATTGTATTTTATTTTATTTTTATTTTATCTTAATTAAGAGTAAAAAATATTAACCTATATTCAATTTTAAATATAAGTTACATTAATCCTTCATTTCTCCTTCTTCATCTTCTTCTTCTACACCTCGTATGTACATTACATTATTACACCGGATTAGAACTTCGCCAAGATTACCAGTACAATTTCCATCTATATGTTCCTCTGTATTTGCTAATTGTAAATTCATGTATCCATCGACTGATACAAGATAACCCTTATATTCGTGACCCCATTTAAGTTTTACCATTACAGGTTTACCTGTTAAACCATTTAAAAATGGTTTGGGGTTTATAGGCATTGTAGCAGCCATGGTATCCGTTTTGAAAAATCTACAAAGAAATATTGTGTTATATGCATAACATTGCAAATACCAACTGTTAAATTGTATGATAAATGATATATTAAATAACAAGAATTATTAACAATGTAAATAAACAAAGTATTAAATTCGTGGATACAATTAAATTACATTAATTCAAATATTACATGATAAATATTAATGCGATAGTGAGGTTAAGGTAATAGGTATAAAATATCAATTCAAAATAATGTTTCAATATACGTCAACTTCTAGGGTTACTTTTCATTTATGATATGAAATGCGTATACTTACGTTTTTGAACAAAGTGAAGAAAAAAAGGTTTGATTTCTTGTGTTTGTCGGATGCGTGTTAAAGGATCACACTGTTTTGAAGCGGTTTATAATTATGATGCGAATAACTGCCACTAGGCCACTACACTAGCAAAATAATCCAACTCAGGTGACAAAACTTTCTAAGAATTAATGTCACGCAATTGCATGGAAATACAATTGCAGTTGATGAATTTATTTATGTATTATTGTAACTGGCATAATTTTTGGAAATATATTTACTGATACACTTTACGAAACGCAATTTTATGTATCTAGCCTAATCACTTGCAGTAAAAATTGTTCTCGCGTTGAAAGTACATTTTATTAAATATGAATATTCTACCAAAGAAAAGGTATGCATTTTTCATAAATGTTTAATTGATATTCCTTTAATCTGTATATTGCAAATAATAAAAATTGTTTCCTTTAGGTGGCATGTACGTACCAAAGAGAATATTGCTCGTGTACGTCGAGATGAAGCAAAAGCTGCAGAAGAAGAAAAAGTTAAACACCAAAGAGCTCAGAAGGCTGTAAGTATGAGTGAGGATGAAAGAAAAGTTTATTGTTATTTGCATATATCATAGATGCAGTGTTCAATTTTTTAAATTACTATTTTGTATTAGGAAACCGAAGCAAGAATCGATTTCCTAAGAGATACAGCAAGATCAAAATACGATGGACGAGAACAAACACAGAAGACAGAAATTATTGCATCTACCTCAAAGTGGGAACATGTTAATTTTTTTGCTGATCTTGAAGAAGGAAAAATTGATTATAATAAGCCTAATGCAGAACATGAGAAAGAAAAGAAAGACGAACAAGAAAAGTATGAAAAACAAATTGGCTATCTCACGTATCTTGGACAGGACACTAATGAAGCAACAGGCAAGAAGAACTGGTATGAGGAATTACCTGAAAGGTTAAGAGACACAGAAAAAGATAAAGAAGTACAAGTAAAAAGGAAGGCATTGGATGATCCAATACATGATATTAAAAAGTACTTAAAGATTATGGAAGCTGGTTCTACAGAGAAATCTTCAAAAATGAAATCAGATACTATTAAAAAAATGAAGTTCGATTCAGAGGATAGTGATTCTGATAAAAAAAGTTGTAAATCTTCTAAAAAACATAAACATAAAAAATCTAAAAAACATAAAAAAGAAAAACATGAAAGTAAAGAAAGACAAAATATTGAAAAACCAAGTGTAAATATACAAAAATTAAGAGCAGACAGATTATTAAGAGAACAGAGTGAAAAATTAAGAACCGAAGCATTGTTAGCTAAATTAAGAGGAGATCCAATTCCAGTAGTGACACCTGAAGCACCATTGAAGCCTGGTATCAAACAAAAATATAATTCACAATTCTTTCCTGAAATTGCTAGACAAAATGCTGAAAGAACACCTAATGTATATTCAATGAGGGAATAGTGCAAAGTGTAAGTTGTAACTTTATTTCATAATTGTGCAACATTTTCTATTATCTAAAAATGAAAAGCTAATTACTATTACAATTATGTAAACATCAACTCGTGTACAGATGTTTAAACAATATTTTATAAGATCTGTGTGTCCAGTTACCAGTATAGTGAGTCCTCAAGTTACACAAATTTGTTAATAATCAGTTGTGTCCCCACTTATGTTCTTATACATATGTTGCATGTGCGTATGTAATTTATACGTATATTAAAAAAAAGTTTCATTTTCTTCAATCTCTTTTTTCACGAAAATTAAACCTGGTCTAAGAAACAATTACTCGACATTGCCTACAGCCAAGTTATTGGTAATAATACATACGTTACATACGTTAAAATGAATTAATTGCGTATGTAAAGGACTTACTGTACCGACCAGTACTGACAACAACGTATAAACAAGTCACCTATAAAATGCAATAAAATGCTCATAAAATGCAAATAAAAGAATTTTTCAATTATTATTGAAACGAAATGTTAGGTATCCCTCGCAAATCTGTTTGATTATACTAAATTTCTCAGTATCACGTGATGCAAGATGGTGGAATATCACGGATCTCATGGATAACGCGTTAAAATTTGACGTTTATGTCGTTTCTTTTCAGTATTCTTGCTCCTAACTTGACTTAAATTTTTTGCCCGTAAGTAAAAAACTCTTTGTTTATTATATATGATACATTTGATATTTTAATTCGATAATTGAAGCTACGCTTGAAATCTCGAACCAGACGCTTGCAACGCGCGAGTTGCTTTCACGAAATATGATTTTCGAATTTGAACAATTGTGAATGCTCTTGACTACAAAAAGATGACAGCTTATATAAATTAATATTTCATATCGTTAAAAATAGAATGGCTTTCCTTCGAATGTTATTGAAAAAATTACATTTTTAAGTCATGTTACCGATCGACCTTAAGATAACCTCTTCGCTTATTTATACGAATATTGCCGTTTTAAAATACGATTTCGAGTGATTTTCATATTTCGTGAACTTCACAAGCACACTTACATTTGGTATGTTTCACAAAATAATTAAATCGGAAAGGTAATGGGTAAGACATAAGTATCGAAAATTATTTAGGTGTGTGGAATGCAATATGATGTTCTATATATGTGTGCTTGATAGTTTTACAGAAATGTCTGTTTCATATTATTAACAAGTCAGCTTATCATCCATGTAACAAATGGAAATAAATATTTGATTTTTATCCATTTATAACTTTAATTTAATCTCATGTGTTTATATTTTAGGTAAAATGTTGTTGTTAATTTAAATCTCAAACATTGTTACCGATATGAGTTAACAGATTATTATTGTCACCATGAATGAAGAAATGAGCATTGGAAACTCTTCATATTTAAGTTATGAAATCAATGGTACTAGCTATATAGTGCAAACAATATCAGGGCCAACACTGGATGCATTGAAAATTACGTCAGCTAGTGAAGAGCAAAATTCAATTAATATTATAGATCAAACTCAAGCAGAGAACGAAGAAGTTTCTATAGTTTGCTTAGATGGTCGAGTGTATGCATTTCATAATGGAGAATTACAAGAATTAGATTTTAGCCAAATTATAGATCAGAATGATCCACAGGAAAGGACAGTCTTATTATCTAAGGAAGTTGATAGTTATGAAACACGGTATATTACTAACGAAGATTTAGTCATTGCAAATGTTGACGTACAGTCTCAAGAACAATATGAAGTTGTCACTGAACAAACTGATAAGAATTTTATTGTGGAGAAGGCAAATGTAAATGCTAATGATTTTGTAGAAATAGTAACAGCATTCAAATGTAAGATATGTACTTATACAACTCAAGATAAAACACAATTACTGCAGCACTTTCAAAAAACACATGTGAATCCAAAAGCAGATGTTGAAGTGAGTTTTTAAATTACTTTTTTTGCATTTTTTCAACATTTATTATGGTATTTTAATATGTACACTTTACAGATAAAAGAAGAATCTGAAAATACAGATGAAGTAAAGTTGCTATATATGTGTGGCGAATGTTCTAATTGCTTTCCTTCCCTAGAAGATTGTAAAGAACATATGATAAATGTAATTATTTAAGATACATTTCTTTTGCTACAAAAAATAAAATTTTATGTAGGAAAATATTCTATAGATAATGCTTGTTTTAGGATCATCAGTTGACAGACACAGGATTTAATAAAGGTGGTAAAGAAAATATGACAGATGTTTCAAAAGGTTCTGGTTTATTGAATGAAAACATGAGCAAGAGTCTTGAAAATAATGATATTGAACGACAAGCTAAAATTCAGAAGCCTTTAAGTTCTGAGTATATGCTCAATAAAAAAATGGTAGAATTAATAGAAAGAAACGTAAAGTGAGTAAATTATTATTAAGCTGTTTAGAGTATAATGTCCTTTATTCATTAAATAAACATTATATTTTCTAAGATGTTCATATCGAGGATGTCCCTACAAATTCTCTACAGAAGAAGCCATGCAACAACATGGGCTTTGCCATGTAGAATCGCTAAGTGGAACAACGTTTAAATGTACAGTTTGCCGTGATTTGAAGTTTACCAAATGGAAACAATGTAGCATACATTTATGGAAAAAACATCAAATTGGTTAGTATTTTATACCAGTGTTTGCACAAAGGGAAACTAAGACGTATTCTATGCAAACTAAAAGTTTTTTTTTTAGACATAGGTATGCTTACTTGTACAATATGTAAAGCGTATAAAAGTGCAACAATGGTAAAACTTTTGACTCATATGCGAGTGCATAGTGAAACACGAGAGTATGAATGTACTCAATGCGGTAAATGTTTCAAACAAGCCAGTCAATTGCGTAATCACAGAGTGATGCATTTGGATCGCAAAACATTGGAAGTAACACGTTGGTACACTTCAAAAAAATGTGATATGTGTGGGAAGATTTATGCAAATTCTAAATGCTTGAAGAGTCATATTCAAGCAGTGCATTCAAAGTTGCGACCATACGTTTGTAATGTTTGTGGTCATTCTAGCGCTAGAAAAGCGATGTTGCAAATGCATTTACGTCAGCATACCGGTGATAAACCTTTCAGTTGCGAACTGTGCGAATACAAGACTGGAGATCACAATACATTACGACGTCACACTATGCAACACACAGGTATGTTTTGTTTAAAGGAAATAGTTAACGTAACGCGTGTATATATCTACAACATTATAAATAAAAGTAATTATTTCAGGGTTCAGACCTTACAAATGCCCGCATTGTTCTTACACTGCAATACAAAGTAGTAGTTACAAAAATCACTTAAAATCTAGGCATCCTTTACTGTCTGGTTTGTATACATGTGACTTGTGCCCTTTTAAAACTGTTAAGAATTCAAGTTACGTACAACACGTGAGGGATCACGAAAAAGGATTGATTAAATCGAATGTGCAAAAGAAAGGTATGCTTACAACTATTTTCGATATTTAAGTTCTCATATACGTAGTAGCTAATAGAAGATTTTGGATTGGTTCATTTAGACGGGGAAAACGTTGAAGTTTTTCCGGGCAATATCGCGGCAGCACAACTGATTTATAGCTGTTTGGGTGCCTTCTCGAAAGTTGGAGATACTTTAGAAGCAAACTTAATGTCTTCCTCAACGTCTGCGGATGGTACATCGCAAACAATTACGATACAAATACCATCGAAACACCTTGAAGGTTCACTGCCAACGAGAGAAAATGAAACTAAGAGTAATTCATCGATAGAGCAAGAAGACGAAGAAACAATGCATTGTTTTCTAAAAATTCCACGAGAAGAAGAAGAAAGTATAGATACTGGTGGTATAACTATACCCGCAGAACCCGAGGAATTAGGTGCAACGACAATTAATGTTGATACGTAAAAATATAAAAAAATTGAATTATTCAAAATATATTTCTGTATTTTAAAAATAACAGAAATGTACACGTCGGAAGGAAATAAGGAAATGCTAGTCACGCGTTACTTAGACGATACTTGTTCTTTTTTGATTTAAAAAAAAAAAAAAAAAATAGAACCAATGCTTTAATTTAAGAAGAAAAACACTAATTGTGATACTATTTTTGAAATTGTATATCGTGTTCGTGACGAAAATATGAATAATTCAAATGTTGTATTTGAAGCAAAAGGGAGTAATTTTGTATGTTATTTTAGAACAACGAAAATGTATTAAAAATGTTTAACTACATAATCGAAACAATAATTTTACGATCACGTTAATTTAAAGGAAGTTGTATTTTGTTTTCAGGTAACATTTTACAACTGGAGAGATTAACATTTATTTGAGGTGTTTTGGTCTCGAAATTTATAAAAATGTTGAAAGTAATTCGTTATATACTAAAACATCTTTAATATTTTGAATGTATTTATTGATAATTAATAGTAAATTAGTAGAAGTGTACATAAAAATTGTAAAGTAATAGTGTGGAAACCGTTGTAAAATGTAGATTACGGCATCTCATATGATTCATAATAAGATTAAAATAATATTTTACATGATTGACTAAAGAGAAATGCTGTAGTATTTCTTGACTGAATTAGTCGTCAGGTTAAAATGACACTTATTACTATGGAAGAAGGAATTTAAAATTTTCAAGTGTTCATATATTACCTGTTGAACTTCACAAATACGTTCTCACAAATTGAGATTTCTATATCAATTTGCTTAAATGCAAGATTTGTGACAATGGTAATTGGTGTTGTTGTAAACATATTATTCTTAAAAATTTTAGTAGAATGATTAAAAGATATATCAGTAAATTATAGTATACAACGGATGTCTTTTTATATGCATTTTGTAAGGAGGTGTTTTAAATGAAATATACTGCTTCTCTCTGAGTAGCCTAAGCAAATTGATACGAGTCATTATTTACAGCTAGTGATTAAAGAAATGTGAGGAGCTCCTTTTGTTCAAGCAGCTGATGTGGGTTTTCTCTTAAATTACACATATCACAACTAACAGTCCCTGGGCAGTTCACCATAATAAGCCGTTAAAGCTATTAACCTTTTGTCAAGGAAGTTTAGCTCCACTTCTAGACCATAACCTACTTCGGCTAACATGGCAAGCTGTAATTTGTATATAAATAGATATAAAAACATGAGGTAAATAATGTTATGTTATATACGCATAGAATTTGAAAATTGAATTTTTTGTATTCTAAAATTACCTGAATAGTATCTATATTTCTAGGTAGAAAGTAGGCCACGTGATTTGTGATCCCCTTTGCTATTTTAAATATATTCGTTCCGCCAATGGGTTCCATAATTTTACTGAGATCAAAAATTTCATCCTTGGCATAGTCAGGTCCTCCCCATGGAGGACTTAGAAATACAACGTCTGCACTTAACTTTGGCGCGAGTTGAATAAAATCTCCAACAACGAATTCTATTCTGTCCTCAACGCCATAAACCCGTGCGTTGTTTCGAGCAAGCTCGATTTTAGCCGGATCTATATCTATCGCCAGTACTATAGAACAAAAATACGAATTTATTTTATCCACAAACTATTTACGTGCAAGCAAATCAGAGTTAAATCTTATTCGAACAATAAATAACGAATACCTCTTTCACACGTAAAAGCAAATTGAATAGCGTTTCCTCCTGCACCACAGAATGCATCGATTATGACATCGCATTTGCATCTTTGTGCTATGTGCTCGGCAATCTTTTCTGGTGTTACGGAAAACCAGCTCTCTGGAAAGTGTTGTATTATATATATAATATAGGTATAAATATAATAAATCACTTTAAAAATATTTTAGTTTTAATCCTCTACATAAAGAACATACCACGATCCAGTTTAATGCCTTCATCAAACTTGCTGAATAATCGATACCTCTTAAACCAATACTTAAGCAACGTCTTGTCACTGTCAATTTCTACCGGGAGGTTTATATTTCTTTTAGATTGCTTCCTCCGTTTTTTCTTTTGTATCTTTTTTACACTATCCTCGTCAGACAACTTCGTATTTTGTATCTCGTGATCATATTTTTCATCTACATCCATATCGGTAATTGCTGCATCAACTTTCTCATCTTTTATAGGAAGATTTTCCGATACACATTTTGTGGAATTGCTATCATCTTGGTCAAAGTGTACATTGGTGTCTTCAATACTTTTAAAAACATCGTCTTGTTTATCCGAAATATTCCATGAATCACTTGCATCATCAATTTGCCTTTTATCTGCACCCGATTCTACTGAACTTGTGCTTGGTTTACTAAATACGAGTCGTTTCGTTTGCAGTTTTGTCTTAAGACTAGGATCGCACTCTTCATCAGAACTTGATGTAAATTGTGCATTGTAGGAACCTTTTTCAGAGGGTTGCAAATCTGTTTCTGTTGAGGATACAGCTGGACAATACGACAGATAATGTTTTACCTTTAAAAAATAGAATAAACGAATCATTCATCGTTCAATATTTTCACATTCGACATTAAGTAATATCTAATTTACCTTGTCTATAGTGTTAGTAATTTCCACTCCATTATCATCGAAGTAGATATGTTTGTTTGATGGTTTGGGTCTGCAGAATTTCATTTTTAATTGTCTATTTTGTAATCTAATGTTTCTCTTCCTGTATACTACTTCTCCTTGCAATTTTGATTTCTTGTGGTCTTTATTGAAAGTGTACCCCATTAACAAAAATGCTTTTTCCACTATTTCCAGGCCCTCTCCTGTTTCATCACAGTCTGCCTCATGGCTGAAAAAAGTGTACATACAAATTGTTAATAATTATTTAATTATTTTAATACGTTAGTGGTAAATAATAATATACCTTCGTTTCAATGTTACAGGTTTATCTTCATTGGGCTTATCACCATCTCCCCCACTAGAATATTTTCGTTGAATACTATAATTGTTATTAGTGTTACTAGAATTAATTGCACTATTTTCATTTCGTATAACCGAAGTTTGATCGTTGTGTTTAGTCTCCGTTGAATGTTCATTTTCGTTAGCTTTTCCGTTGTCTTCCTTAGATACATTGTCTTCTGTCATTGTTAAGTTGTGTATAAGCATTCCAACCGAATCCATAATTAATCGTTTCTTTCTAGTCTTTTCCCTCTTAAAGAAAGAATTCTTGTTCGATGAGTTTTTATTTTCGGAAATATTAAATTGATTAAATGTATCTGTTTCTCTTTGTGCAAAATCTTGGTCTATACTTTCACCATTTTTTTCTTGGTTATTACGTTTTTCGCAACTTATAACGTCGATCGCAGGCCGTCCCCTTTTGTAAGTATCTACAAACAATTCATAGTGCTTTTGGTACTGTAATTGGAAATTTTCCTTCCATAAATGCTGCCAATACCTATCATTATCTTCTGTTGTGTATTCATTGTCTTGATCAGAACTAGTGCTTGTTATATTGCTTTCAATGGAACTAGTTACAGAACTGATGAGACTAGATGAATGCATAGAAATGGAGTCACAACTAGAACTAGTAAGAGTCATTTTTGTAACATTTGTCATGGAATCGGACGTTGCGTATGTTTTGGCTATCGATTCATTCATGGAATCACATCTTGTTAAAAGTCTTTCATCTTCTGCATTAGAATGTTGGTTGTAGCTTTCTTCTAGGCTAAAAGGACTCAGTTGATTCCATCCATCACCAGTTTCAGGAGAAGCTTCAAGATGTGTTATCTTCCTCCTATTTTCCTCTGCATCTTTGTCATTGATTTCTTGCTTGTTCATATCGTCGAATGAAAAATTAACGCTATAACTATCTTTCGTTTTCATTTCGTTATCGTTTATATTATTACTTTTACTAAATATTCCTTCAAAATTTGAGCGACCAAGTTCACAATTTCTGTGCGCTTGACTGGGAAAACATGTATTTTGTTCCGAGAATTTCTCTATACTTTCCTTTACTTCCAATCTCTCGTCTCCTAATAAGGGAGCATTATGTTGAAAATATTCTGGGTTGATGTAATCTGCATATTTTGCAATCCAAGATGTCCAAATTAACTGTTCACCGTTTAAAGACCAATATTTCTCCCATGCAATGTCCATTACACTTTTAATTTCAGAATACATAATATATGGGGAAACTTGCGAATTATGAGCATACGTATACGCGTCATCTTCGCGATAAGTTTGTGTAGTATTGGCTGTAACATTTTTTGAAGTGCTTTGTATCTCGGAATCTTTGTCTCCCAAAATAAACGGTGGATTGTCTACATGAAATTTCTTTTCATTACAACAGGATGGATTAATACTTAAAACTTTGATATTTTCTGCAAGATGGTGATCCGATGAGTGAATGTCTACTGTTTCAAATCCATAATCTGAGCGCTTGTTTTCTTGATTTTGTGGAAGTACATTCACTTTCTCAAATCCATCTTCCAGTTCAGTCTCTGTAGTTTGGAAAGTCTTTCCATATGATGCCAAAAGGTTTTGTATACTTTTCGCTTCATGTTGGTCATGATATTCAGATAGGTCTGCACCTGAATCGGATTGGTGCAGACCCAGTTTTTGTGTAAGGGAATGTGTAGCAGGTCGATGTGCTGAGTCACGAACAGAGTCATGTTCATCTGTGGAATAATTGTTGTCTGTGTGTGATGCACTGCAGTAACAGCTCACTGGTTCTTCCTAATTTTAAGGGTGAAAAAATATGCGCTTGTTCAAATAAATATCTAATATAATACTGTGATATCAGATTAGCTGGAATTAATCGAGTACTTTAGTAAAAAAAATAAAATAGAAAATGAAATACAATCTTACATCATGCTTTTCAATGGATTGTGCTTCTGTGGTAGACCTTTTGTGAAGGTCTAACATTTCTCCAACACAATCACCCTCAACATCTTCACCTTCGCTTGCATCCTCCAAAACAAAGCTAGTGTAAACTTCTGGGCTTCTAGAAATAAAAGATAATTTTTATGTATTCATTTCTAATGAAGATACATTTTTATATTTTATATTTTACAAATACAAGGCCCAGTATTCTATTTCCTTGTTTATGTTAGTTATCACGTGGTACGCATTGTTTGTTTTTGATATTTCGTGAAAGTGATCGAAAGAATAAAGAAACTGACTCATCAATCGTTAATTGTTTTAGGAATCAATTTCTAAACCGGAATGAATACAAACGACGTTGGCATACTTCTAATACGCTTTTCATAAACCCAAAAAGTGAAAAAATATATTTTTTTATTAAAAAAAATATGTTGTGACCCCGGTTATTCGAGTGGGTGTCAAGGTTAGGTCATGTGCCACACTACTGATCGATAAACGTAATGATTTTTTTATTTTTTAAGAGACAATAAAATTAATACGAGCACGAAATTTCATAGCGACAACGCGATTTTGAAAAAATAAGGAATGCATGCTTTAGGGGTGTATTTACCGAACAAATACTCTGCTGCAAAGACAATAAATATAATTATCACGGTCAGAGAACTCTGACTGTTCCCCGATGTACATGTCAGCTAAGGGTTCCCAAAAGTGGTCGCTCATGGCGAAAGAAAATCTTTAATTGGCTACTTGCTCGTGAATCGTCACAACACCCACATGTCTCGCGCTCAGATTTTTACAACTCCCCCATGTAAAAACAATCCGCCATTTCTTCGACCGACAGGATACCATCCTGAAGTTGTGCACGGTTGCAATAACCACAGACGAGTTATAGTCTCAGTGTGGCCATATCTGGCATTTGGGTGGTACAGAAGTACGACGAATCTACCATGGCATTTATATGCCACCTAATGGAACATTGAGCAATAGAGATCGCATAGTACTCTTACAGATTCATGTATGAACACGATCATAAATTATCTACAATCTACATTTGATGCCAGAGATTGGAATGAAATTAAACATATTGTATAGCTAACATGAAACTAACCAAAAATTTAGGTCATCGAAGATGTCACCTTCAGTCGATAAATTTGCATGTTGGTAAAAAGATTCAGTTGGTAATTCAAATTTGATGGTAACATCTCATAGGATAATTTATATATAATACAGTTAACATGAAACTAACCAAAAATGTAGGTCATTGAAGATGTTACCTTCAGTCGATAAATATACATGTTGGTAAAAAGATTCAGTCGGTAGTTCAAATCTGATGCTAAAATCTTGTAGGATAATTTACCGACATTTTGTGAAACCTGTACAGTGGTGTCCTCTACGATACAAACACGTGCAAACACTGAATTAAGATACCCGTCAGTTTTCAACTTGTGCAACACGTAGAAACAGATGTACATAGTGTAAACTCCATCGATTTAATATCGAATGAAATTACAGTGCACCATTCTAGGTTTTCCTGTAAGTAAAATTGAAACGATTGCAAGTGGAAATACCATCGAGCAATGTTGCCTACATTGCTTGATGCCTTTTATGATCATTTTATGAATGATAAGTTATAGTCTAACTTTTTAAGAACACGATCGAGGTGCCGATTTTTGGCACGGCTGGGACAAAATTTTAATTTGTACTATGATCAGAGAGACCCGATAGCCGGCGCCATCTGGCGGGATGCTGCGGAATCGGGAGCCCGCGAACGGAGCAATGGCGTAGGTGGCGATCCATGTGATAAATTAATTTTTATAGCTTCGTGGGTGGCGGCTCTTTCTATTGGTCGCTGATCGGGCGCCTCCCACTTGGAACGACGTAACCTTCTCCTGGTTTATTCCATTCAACTGTGATAGCGAGATTGTACCATTTGTAACGTTTCAAACGAGAGTCGACGAGGGAACGGCGGATGGTTGTAATTGAAATACATTCGCGGATCGTTCGATCGGCGCTCGACAAAGGCGCAGCCGGCACGACGCGATTTTTAATCGAGCGTACTTTTACAGAGTGCTCGACGTAATGAAACGCTGCACCATCTTCCACGTCTCGCTGCGTCTCTCGATGGACAGTCTAACGCCATCGCGAGGAAGATTAATACGCTGTCTTTCAGCGTTTCGCGATGTCAACGTTCGGATAATGGTACGGTTCAATGGATTAATTTAATTTACGACAATTTTATTATCATATGTTTTAACTGTATAACGTATAATATAAAATATACTTTTATATGCCATGTAACTTTAAATGTAAACTTTTGTCAGCCATCTCAACCTTTTTAGGCACAAAGGAAATTTTCCATACTCGTATTAAGACCTATTAAAGCTGGGAGCTTTTGATAACGTCATTGTTGTAAAAATAAGATTAATGTATAGCTTTGAATCTTATAAAATATAATTTCTATACGGTCAAGCATCACGAAAATTGCATCGTCGCTTTTCCGCACGCGCTGTTTGTTCCATCGCAGGGAAATCGCGTCGAACGGATGTCTCATTAAATATAAATGGTTATCTCGATATTTACTCGGAGACAGGCCACGGGAAAATGTACTCCGCGGAAGTTTATGAATCGCCGACTCGCTACAAAAGTTAGAAAATGTTTACGCCGCGTGGAAAGTTTATAATTTTCATTGCCGAACACGGGTCTCCGCTCCAGAGGAGTCGTCCAATCAATTCGGTGTAAATGACGCGTGTACGCGCGAGGAATTTTATTGGTGAAATTTGTCATTCCACGATTCCGAAGGTGGTTCACAAGACTGTGAAATATATTCGGCATAAATTAGCGTCTGGCAAAGGTCGGATTCTGGTTGGATGAAAAGGAAAGGATAAAAACGTGGATCCAACATCATTTTTGTAACTCTTGAGAAATGGATAGAGTTCGATTGGTTAGGATTCCGTCCTTGCAATTGGAGATCTATTAGAACTTGGGCGTAACTATTGTATTCCTCCGAATCGTAGCCAATTTTTATTGGTTTGTTTTGTAGGAATGAAACTTGATTACGTGAAGAGGGTTCCATGAAAGTAGAGCAAATTTACAATCTTCACCATCTTCGCTCTCAGGGGTTGTAGCATGCTACAGTACGGGATTAGCGATTCCGAGGTACCCGAGCTATAGAGGAGCCAGTGGATCCCAACAGGCATATAAAGAAATAAGAAAGTTAAGAAGTAATCTAAAGTACTGTAATGTAAGAAGTTAAGGAAGAAAACACTGAAACGCCAAAGCGCTGAACAAGTAGTTCACCTATCACTTACATCCTCCCTATAAATATCGTCTACTAAACATTCCCACACTTTTGGAGTTCTCAGGAGGGATTATGCTCTCTATCATCTTGCAAGCATCCCACCAGATCCAATTACCATTCCCCTCTCCCAGCGAAAATCGCGAGCTGTGTGTCGCTGGCAGCAGGTTGCCAGCTGTGGATTGATACGAAGATCGGAGCATCGTATCCTCGAATCGGCCAGGCACGTACACAAACAGAGAAGCCTTGCTCCGGAGATGGATGCTGCGCGGAGAGAGATCGACAAGATCGGAAGAAACAGAGCCGCGGAGACGAGCGGGAGGAGAGGCAGGAGGAAGAGAATCCACGGACGAAGAAGATGAAAAGGAAGAGACCGTGGAAGAAGCGACGGAGGAGATCCTGGAGGAAGTGGAAGAAGCGGACGAACCAAGAAGGGGGGGGCTGCTAGGCGGGGGGGGGGGGAGGAGTGAGAACGAGAGAAGGCCGCGGTAGTCCTTCTCGACCGAGCTGGTGAGATAAGGACGAGGCGGACAAACGGACTGACGAAGGTGGCCGAGGTAGGGGATATTCAGTCTCGCGGCCACGTGCTACACGAGCGCACGCCCCGAGCCGGCCGGTGGTCCAGCCACGTCTCCGTCCTCTTCTTCGTCGTCCCGTTTTGTCCCACGCTTCCCTCGTTCCTCCTTCTCCCTTCCATTCTTCTTTTATACGACCGACTCTTGTTCCTCTTCTGATCGCTTTTTTTCTCTTCTCATTTTATCGCCATCCGCCTCCGTTTTCGAACCGCTCGTGCACCGCTGCGCGATCCCGCCGCGACGGACCGTGGCGGATTCCGTGGACGCCGCTCGAGCGCGTCTCGCGGAAACGCGCGCGATACCGTTTGAAACCGAAACGAGAAAATCGGGTTCGACTAGTGCTCGTACGTCCTGGAGAATTCTGTGACGCGAGTGAAATTGTTCGAGGATTCGTTTTCGACGGCGGGGGGGTTGGAGGAAGTTGCCCACTGTCGAGGATGGTGCAACAACGCCTGTGCGATTTGTTTCGATGACGTGATGCCTGATCGTCACTGGATACTGGATTGAGAGTCTCCAAGGAACTGTCTTTCTGACTGATGGTAGGTCTAGAGGGATCGTTTGCGCGCTGTCCGCGAGGAATCGAGAAGGAACAGTCGATGCTTCAGGGTGCGAAAGAAATCGTTTGACAGTTTGTAAGACAGGGAATCTTGAGATTTTGATACTTGAGAGAAGGTAGATTGTCAATTAAAATGCAGAATGTGCATAACGTGGATGGTATTTTGATGAAATCCTGAGGATATTTAATATTGGTAGAGTCAGCGCTCTGGTGACTTCAACGCGTGATAGTAGTGCTGAATCGTGATGGTTTGATCAGGATTCACGTAGACTGTAGGGGGAAAACGTTGCTTTCTGTCGAAGTTGACACGACTTGTAACCGCCGCAGAAAATTCTGGGAAATTGTTCTTTTAACTCATAGTAAACGTAGCAAGTTTCTTCGAGACTCAGTGAACCCACCTAGTCAAAAGAAAACTAACTTGTCGTTAAGAACGAAACGATGAGCATGAGAATTTGGGAATACGGAGGATTCGGGGCGAAGAAGTCGTAGAGGCATCTTCTTGGAGGGTATCGAGTCGACGATCAACGAGATTCTTGGCACCGTGCTGGGTTTAACGAGCCAACTATTTAACCGGGGACTAGCCGTACTAAAAACCAATTCGGGACTCTCCTTGGCTCTCTCCCTCTCTCTTTAGTTCACGGCGTCGACGATTAATTTGTCACGACGTCTGGGCCACAACAATTTCAACTGTCTGCAGTCGGTGCCATGATATCCGTGCGACGTGCCGCTCACAACCGGTTCATTAAAGCTGCAGCCGCTCGTCACTTATTGGCTGCCACGGGTTGGCAGCGATCCGTGGTGTTTGCGATAGAAAAAAAAAGAGCCGATTGAAAAGAGAGAAGTAAAGTATCGGCTCCGTGATGGGTGGGGGTGTGGGGGGTGGGTGGGAGAAAAAGAAAGGACGACAGGTACACGAGCGATACTTTTGACGCGAGTGTTCCACCTTTCAATCAATATTATTGTGAACGCCGTTGTCGAAGATGGCCGAGCCAGGGTGAAAAAATTGATGGATAATTAGGATATTAATAATGCGTGACGTCTGGGAAAGTAAAAAAGTAGAACAGCTCGAGTAGGCAGCATCAGACTTACATTACAAATCTGTGGGACGATTTTGGAACGATTTTTCTTCGAGTCGAAGAATAATTTGTTCCGTCTATAATTAAACGAAAACTCTCTATACCTGTTTCCAATACGGGAAATCCGTCGTTCAGGTGTTGGACGAGTAGAATAATCCGCTGTTGACAGACATTTAGAGCCTCGTCGTGTTCAGTTTCTAGGATACAGTTGTGCGTGCTGCTAATCCAGCCTGCCAGGCAGTCTTCCAAAGAGCGACAAGATGTATTACGTTTGCATACACGCGGTACCCAGGTACAAGAGCGATTATTTCAAGGACTGCAAACTTGTTACGGCCGCGGTAACGATGCGCGAGCCTCTGTTCTCGCCTGGAGTCAGCTTGAAAATAACGACGAGCAAATCTCGCGCGCACTGGCCTCGTTCGTTTGTCTCCTCTGCCTTTTGTCCTCTTCTTCTCTGTTTTTACGCGATCTGCAAATCCACAGAGACGCATTTCCAGACCGCACTGTCGGCGATAAGTCAAACGCGGTACCAAGATCTGCGCGTGAATATTAATTACTAGATTTTGAAAACTCGCCAGGAAAGAATTCCGTTTACGGAATTACTGCGAATATATTACTGCGAATATGACTTCGAGGGGACTTACTTGTCGAGTTAGCCTTTCACGCACTGGCTGTCTTTACGACTCAATCTTGATACGAGTAATGGGATCTGTTGATGAAAGCTACACAGTTTTTTAACGGTAGTAAATTTTTCTTCGCCTTTGACGGAATTCAATGGGCTCTGGAAATTAATAGAATTTCAATCTCAGTCGCGACAAGAATATATTTCACGGTCGATTGATTCTCTCAGCGTTTAATCGTGACTTATATTCGGCGAAATTATTTCCCCAATCCAACAATTTAAGTATTAGATCGCTTATCGTTCGGAGAACTACTCATTTTAATGTCGAGTTAATTACGTTCCATTTGCCGATCTTGAAAGTTTGAATTCTTCCATCGTTAAACCGGGACGACATTGCAATCTTCGTACGGGTTCTTCGGCGGACCGCCACTCTATTATGGAAATTCATTTCACCGCGTTATATTTCCCACATTAAACGAGAACGTTAGCCCGCAGAAACAGGGATTTATAGGACTCGGCTGCGAGAGGCAGCGATACATTCAACCGAACCGGTCTCCCGCGGGTATACGACTCTTAATTAATTTGTCATTATTTAAGGAAGACGTCCGGCGATAAAATTCACCAGACGTCACGGCGACGGGATACCCGGCGCATTTCTCGCTTGTCGTTCATCTTTCAATCGAATCGATATCCTTCGGACAACCGAACAAGTCGAATCTAACAAGAAAAAGAGGAAAACGTGCTTCCCGGTTCATGCATCATTCGAATTTTCTTCGTGCATCCTCGACGGACTCCCATTGGCTTCGAGCGTGTAGACATTAATCCTTTCTCGTGTCCGTTGGATTATCGTTCGAATTGTACGATGTTTAAGGGTATAATTTTATTGTGGTCTACTCCGTTCAAAAGGACAGGGGTTTTTACTTTTCACGGAGAGGTTTTAATAACTCGAGTTTAGAGATACCGCTTTCCATGCGTTGAAATCACTTGAATAGTGTTTGTGGTACTGATAGATCCACGATTCTATAATGAGCGTTTGTTAGTGAGAATCCTACCATGTTTCAATTTACTGTATTTGAGGAAGTGAGCTTCATTTTTCAATCGAATCCTTTAGTATTTGAAGTTAAAACGATATCCATTTACCACGTCTTGAAGTCATGCAACTGCTGTTTAAATTACTGATTAGTGCACGATTCTATAGGTAATTAAAGTTTGTTTAGTTAGAGTTTTACGCGATTTTAGCGACGTAATCTCTTGCACTCCTGACGGCAAGCTTCACTTTTGCTGGACGTTTTCAACACTTGGAGTTTGGATGTGATACAGGTATTCCCACGCACTGAAATCACTCAAATAGCGTTTGCATTATGGCTACGTATGCGATATTATGATTAATGGTTGTTTAGTTAGAATTCTACGATATTTCAGTGACGCAATCTATTCTATCCGAGATGGTAAACTTCTTATCAAATCGTTTTAACACTTTAAGACAACTATAAATTGAATTTTTTAATATTTGCTTATTTATAAGTGTACAGTAAGAATATTAACGACACGAGTAATCTATCGAATTCTAGAAGGCAATCTCTATTATTCATCAAACGGTTTTAACCATTGGAGTTTGGCAATGGTTCATCAAGCATCGAGGTCCCTCAAATACTATTTGCATTACGCATCAATATGATTACACATACGATATTATGATTAAAGTTCGTTTAAATAGAATTCTCCGATATTTCAGTGACGTAATCCAGGTATTCTAAAGGCAAGCATCGCTTCTTATCGAACAGTTTTAACTCATTCAATTCGAAGATACTAACTTCCCATGCATTGAAATCACTTGAACGGCGCTTGTGTTGCTGTTACATGCACGATCTCATAATTGACGTTTATTTAGTTAGAATTCTACGATATTTCAATGACGTAATCTATTCTAGCCGAGGAAACAAGCTTCACTTCTCGTCGATTCGAATTTCAACACCCCGACGATTAATCCTGACGATGCCACGTACCACGCATTGAAATCTCCTAATTAACCAATAATTTTCCAAAATCTTTGTACACTTGACGGATTTTTGTATAAGTGTTAAACCTTCAAGATTTTCCGAATACAACATACAAAAAACTCATCGATCCTTTTAAATGGCGCCAAGTCTGCACCGTTAATTCCTCGGGAGCAGAATCCTCTCGCTGAAAATGACATAGCGTGTCGCGGCTCCTTGGCAAGAATAATGACGTACGCCTCGTGTACGATGCTTTTGGTTCCTTGCTCCTTTTCGAGGCATCGAAAACGAAAACTCGTTAATCGGAAGCGGGCGCGTTTACACGCATCGCGGGTTCACCAGGCGTGCACGGGTTCGGTTCCCGCGCGCGGATGAAATTAATACGTGGTCGACGCCGTAATTAGCGCTCGTATTTATGCGCCTCTTGCGAGGCGGGCTCCGTTAACATGGTAATGGCGTTACACCGCTGTAAACACGACATGTTATCTCGACCGAGCCCAGCGAGATTCGCGCAAGAAATGGTGGCTGGGGATCCTCCTTTTCGGGACAACGGAAGCATGCTGTCTATTCTCGTAAATTAATTTGCGCGAGGAAAGTGATAGGTTGTAGGAGATAGTGGTCCTTCAACTTTTTCAATGTTCAAGTAAATGTATTTCGTCTTTGACACGGTATGACGCTATATTTTCAGTTTAGTAAAAATAGACGTATCGCTCAATGAAACGAGTACTCTATTTACTGCAATATTAATTGTTACGGAAAGGGAACAGTATCAATCGACTCGATGCCATTTGAAAGATCAGGAAAGCTCAGAACTTTGACACTTACAAGGGAATGATCTTATTTTTTCTTACAAAAGCACGTGTCACCTTTCTTCTCGAGTTCCAACGGAAGCTGTCATCGATCGTTTCGAGGATTTTCCGAATATTCGAGATCCCGTGCTTGATTCCAGTTCACACAGTGTTCAAGTAGAACCGAAGAAGCGGCCGGTGGTCCCGGTTTACCGTGATCGCGATAATCCGTGGATCTCGACGGAATTTTCAACGGCGGCGGTTGTAGGACACGCGCGAAAATGTCGGGCAGCGACATCAAGCAGGGAACAGACGGCTCGCAGGACCGGCGTGAACGGTTTACATCGAGAGATTAAAGAACATCGAATGGACGTGGGCGATTTGTCGAGCTCGGCAGGATTGGCTGGGAGTGGATCCATCCCTGGAGCAACGGGTGTTGGTATCATTACAAGCACGACATCCGCCACCGCAGGGTGGTGGACGCCTACGTCGACGATCGCATCGGCAGCGGCCAACACCGACGTGGTGAGTTTTTATTTTTTTCAACTATTTTATTTTCGGCGTGCATCGAACACCGTACTTCGTGGCGTCGAATCCTTGGAAGATTCTCGCTGATCGTTGATCGTCCTGTTAGGGATTACTACGGCGGACAGAAATGTAGCAGTTACTTGAATTCTATTATCAGATTGGCATGTTCGTTTGTAAAACACTTTCTATAATTGTTTTCTCTTATTTTAGCTAGTAGATTTTAACAAGTATCATCCTCTTAAGAATTGCGTTCGATGCACGTCCATACACTTTCAACAATAAAGTTAATCAAGAGAAAATTAAACAATCTGGACAAGCATTTCTTTTCCAAGATTTTTATTTTTTCGCTTTGAAGTTAGAAAGGACTTTTACTGGTAAACCACACAACTCGAGATTACACCAGCGAAACAGCGCGTCGTATAAATATAAGGCTACAATTTACCATTAATTCGCGAAACTGTAATTGTCTTCATAACCAACGGAGAAAACGGAAGTACATGCTCGGTTGGATATTTTCACATTTCTCTGGAGGATCCCGCGGGAGTAAAAATCCGTGGCACGTGGTAACCCCGTCTTCAACAGCGTGAAGGCGAATCATCAGCCGTGTAACGCGAGGAAAAAGATCCCTGCGGTTGGCACGCTACTTTCATTTCTCCGTCGAGTGCCATTCGTCATCGGCATTACCTTCGCGCGTTACTTAATGAGACGTCTCCGCGGATGCGGGTGTGCGATTAAGCGGCCGAGAGGGTCGAATCGCGGGTACCGGAGAGGTGGAACGAGATGGCCTATCCGACGACGGGAGAAGGAACGACGTGAGAGCCCATCGTGGAGTCGTGGAACGTTATTCAGTTCCGTTGGAGTACGGCGGCCGAGTGCAGGGGATTAGAACCGAGGTGACACAGCCGCGTCATCTGTTGGACGTTTAACCTTTTTTTTACCCGTCCACGACCCAAGCTTTTGCGGCCGTTCCCACAGGAAGCCATCAGCCACCTCACCTAGATACGCCGAGACTCGACGAAACGGGAAATCCATTTTTGATACGCGTCGTTGTGAACTCTCGTCCTTCCTGATTCTGCACCTTGCGGGGATAGGACGTTATGTCAACAAAATGATGACTGGTGTAGGTTTTGGCTAGGTTTGCGTTAGGTCGAGGTTCTGTGTTTAGTGTCTCGGAGCAATATTTGAATTAGAAATGGACTATTAACTCTTTGCGGCACCCTGGGATTAAAAGTGTTCCACCTTTTTGGTGTACCGTCATGTATAGTGGGATATTTTTAGTCCTACCTCGAAATATTGCAATAGCTGCACGCGCTTCTTCTGAAACTCCAGGCACAGAATCGATGAAGATTCTTATTTTTTTTGGAAGATTAAGAAATTAAATAGAATTCCAAAAATATCTATAATACGTCCACCAGGATGTACTTAATATCGTTTGAATGTACGATGAGCCGACATCGTCGATTAGTCTCGTTGGGAAATCGCCAACTGGATATGTACACCTTCCTATCAGAGAAACAACATCCTCGCAGCTTGGGCTGAATCCTCACACTCTCCGTCGTTCGCGATTTACCTTTCCCGTTCGGTTATCCTTTCTCGTTTGATCGTCGTGTCTGAACAGCGATCCGCAGGAGGCGGCAGCCTGGTTCGCCAGTAATGACTGGCTAACTAGATTTTAATAGGAACATGGTCTCGCAACCAAATCCTTGACGGTTCTCGCGAGGAGGGTAAATGAAGCAAGAAAAGGTCCTCTTTACCACGTGTCACGTACGTCTTGAAGAAGCTGTTCGATCGTGAAAGTCAATCATTTCGGATCTTGGCGCAAAATAAATTATAGAAAAGTTGGTTTACTGCTAGTCTGTTGATGTACTGAATCGGTATAAACGGTGCTAGTTGCGCGAATATCGATTGTTAGTGGGAAGTTAAGAAGTTAATCGTATGCGAATATCTTGCGTAAGTGCATGAATTATTGGATAAAGTTCAACTTCCAAGCTTCAAGTTTCAGCAGCATGAAGTTATTTGTCTTTGACTTCACAAATGATTCTAATTTGCCTATTCCACAGTTTGCGCTATCGTTTCGCATCTGTGACGTCGTATGTCTGATTCCAATCGTTCAAAGTCCCTAATTAACAGGAATTGGATAGCTCAATTTACGAAATCACTCACATCCTCATCATTCACGGATCCCTTACTCGATCGCCGATAATTCACGCGAAATCGGCGAATCGTCCACCGTATCTTGACGCATTCGAGTTTGTTTTAAACTTCACGATTGCGAGACGCGAGAAAACGACTCCCAGGGCGATGTAGATGTCGTTTACGAGGAGCTTGTTAAATACCCAATGATTAATCTGACGTTACCGAACGCGTCCCGTGATCGTCGCTGAAATAAATAGCGTTACCAGCAGGAGCGCCGGCGTTGGCTCGCGTATCGTCTGGTTTCACGATTTTTTCGCTTGTTTTTCCACGAGATCGCCGGAACGAGCAAGAAATACGCCTCCGTGATTGGCACGTATTTGCGGCGCGTTTCCAGCGTGATCACCGGCGCATTCTAAGCGCACCCGGTTTCTCAGCCGAAGCGTAACCACATGTCGCATCTTTTTGTTGCAGATGAATCAGCTCTGCAGGGTCTGCGGAGAACCGGCCGCGGGTTTTCACTTCGGGGCCTTCACGTGCGAAGGTTGCAAGGTCAGTATCGCCGCACGAGCCCTTTGCTCTCTTTATGCTCGGTGATTCTTAACCGTGGCCGAAGGCGTCTACGCTGTGCCGCGAATGTTGGGTAACTGGTTCGATGAACTGCATTGTATTTTCTAGAAATTCAATTTTCCCATAAAAACAAAACGTTCGTTTTACCAATCCCAAGCTTCAGTTCGTTATTTCGAAACTTTGCACTTATTTGACCTAATGTCAGTCCACCTCCAACAATTGCACCCTCCGTGTGGTTTCTGTTCCGCAGTCGTTTTTCGGCCGCACCTACAACAATCTGGGCAGCATTTCCGAATGCAAGAACGGCGGCGTGTGCGTGATCAATAAGAAGAATCGCACCGCCTGCAAAGCCTGCCGCCTGCGGAAGTGTCTGATGGTTGGCATGTCCAAGTCTGGCTCCCGGTACGGACGTCGTTCGAACTGGTTCAAGATCCACTGTCTGCTCCAAGAACAGTCGCAGCAGGCGCAGACGCGTCTCATCAAGGACCCCAAGTCTGCGTACGAGAAGGCGTTCGGCTCTCTGGACGTGGCGAACAACAACAATAATAACAACGACAACACAGGCACTACGAGTGCATCCGTCGTGGGGATGGTCACGACGACCACCACGACGGCGAACAGTTACCATCACCATCACCATCATCAGCAGGACAGGTACCCCAAGAGGGAAGACGTGGTCCTGAGGCCGCAAGACATCTCCGCGCAACTGAGGACGTCGGATATGCCCATTAGACCCGGTCAGGATCCTCTCTTGAGGCCTGTGGATCTGGTGAGGGGGCCCCATGAGCTGCTCAGGCCAGAGGTGTCCAGGTTTCCCATGTGGAGGAGTCCACCGTTTTTCCATCCGGCTCTGACGCACATGCAGCTACTGAACACTCCGTTCTTCCCGTTCCAGCAGCGGTTCATCGTCCCCTACGTTAACCAGGTCGGCGCCTCGCAGATGGTGGCGAGTCTGACCAGTTCCTCCAGCGACAGCGTCAGCCCCAGATCGACGCCGTCGCCGAAGAGGGACGAGGATAACAGAAATTCCCAGGACGGATGCGTGGACGGCGATGGGGGCTGCCAAAGGACCCAGGTGGAGGCTGCGTACGACAAGAGTCTAGCATTCTTACGATCCTTGGGCCCTGAACAGGACGAGCCGATCGATCTGAGCATGAAGAGCGGGCCAACGGAGGTTCAGGAGGTGAACGCGGCCAGTACGGAAGAGGAAAGGTCGACGGACAGCGAGGACGAGCTTCTACAGGACACTGGTCCACCTCTCGATCTCACTAGGAAGACATGACCGTGGAGCAACACGGACGGCTCTCGATAGGAACGAGACTTGCTCTGGCCAGAGTGGCTCGAATGGAATCGCTGCTTCGGGCGTTGCTCGAGATCCACTGGAGTACGGCGGTTTTCGCATGGGGACCTTGTTCCCCTTTCACGGAGTACGAATGGATTCTGGATGCTGGAATGTACGATGAAAGGGTGGTCCTGGGAAGGGAAAAATGGTAGATGTTATTGGAGGAAGTAAAAAATTGAAACGTATAAACCTGGGAAGGTACAAAGCACAGGATGAAGCTAGGAGAAGAGGAGCATCCCGAGAGAACCGTGAATAGACGAATATTTAAAAAAGAAGCAGAAATCCGGAGGACTTCTGGAGGAAGTGATAAATTGACTGTGAGAAGAAGGAAGATCCTCCCGGAGGGGAGTGGGACAGCAGCAAAGAGGGATCACACGGCGAGGAGACAGCGCGGAAGAGCGGACGTCACGAACCGCATGCAGCCTCGCACAAATGACTTTACGATCGACGATCGGATCGACGTAAAATTGCTCAAGTCCTCGGTATTAACCGACATCGGTTCCTTTGGTCGAGCGGAGCTCCGCCAGGTGCTCGTCGACGGAGTGGCCGAAGATCAACTCGATACATCCTTTCGCAGCGTGATGTACGACGAACGGTTGTGCCTTAACCGGTGCCTTTGAGCTCCACCATCGAGTGAGAGAGTGCCAGTAAAAACCACGTGATAGTTTAACGTTAAATAATAACCGCGGCGCGCGTGCGCTATTCGCTGACGCATGTACGCGCGCGTAGAACATATACGCGAGTCCGTCTTTTCGAAAGAGTTACGAGTCCATTTTGTCGAAAAGGGGAGTTTCTGCAAGCAACGATTGAAAAAAGTATGTTCATTTTCTTACACCTTATCTCACATTTCATCACTGTCCTTTTATATTTTGAAATGGGCTTGTATTACTTTCTTCGTGAACAATTCGTGTATATGTTTGTACGCGTGGTGCGTCTATCGCGTGAGCGCGTGTGCAGTCGATTAGAGTGCTCGAGAGGCTGCCGGAAGTCCTGGTGTGTCTCTCGGCGCTCGGGAATGGCCAGTGTTTTGTTAAGCCGCCTTCGCATCGAGTTTTTCGATTTATTTATGTCCCTTTATTTAACGCGGACCAGTCACTCGTGGCTAGTAGCGTCGCGAACAATGGTGTGCTCGCTAGATCATCCCCTGTGTAAAATATTTAATTTCGAGATGCCAGAAGTATAAGGATATTTGGTGATTAATTTTCTTTCATTCTACATGCTATTAAATTTTCAGTCTTCCAAGAAATTGTATGATAATTTGAACGAGTGTACGAATGGTGCAAATATTCTTCCACGTTAAACGTGCTTATCAGCGAAACGGTCCAGTACGAAATGGCAAGGTAAAAGAAGGATCGAGAAGCAGGGGTCGATTACGATCGAGCGATACGCGTGCAAATACACCAAGTGTTCGTCGAAAGAATACGAAGTAAAATAAAGAATATTGTATAGCCGATACGTGGCGCCTTGATCGTCGTTCATTAAATCTCACCTCGATCATCGTTTCCCTTACGCGAGCGTAATCGCGTACCACGAACTCGAGATGGTATTCGATTACTTTCGTCTCGCGCGTCTTTCGCATTCCGAGCCGTCGGCGCGAGCGCGCGATACGCTTGCACGGGCATCATCGTATCTTGCGAGTTATTTATTTAGTAATAAATTTGTCCGTCTCGAGAAACACGTTTTCCCGATAATTCCGTTCTAACGCGACGTTTGGAGGAACGACGCCGATCCTCGACGCACTTACAGGCCCAGCGATGAACGCCCCTCGGGCATGTGTCGAATCCTGAGGCATTCAGGGACCTTTGACCTAATCGCGACGCCAGGAGTCGATGGAAAAATGAAGCTTAACGATAAATCAAGTTTTCTCTTCCTCTGTCAGGCATCAGTTTGGAAGGAATTATTAGAGTAACTGTATCTAAATGCATTGCAATGATACCGCCGCCAAAGGATTTCTTTTCTGACTTGATGCAATCGTGGAGAATGTTATACTTACAAAAACTACTAAGTGAGAAGTAAAAAAGTTTGCAATTCGTTGAATGACGAAAAATGCACACGGCCATCGAAAAGTTGAGACACGACAGACGTGTCAGGAGGTCCAGCGACGAGGAAGTAGCCCGAGACATCCCTGCACGTATCGTTTATTGCTAATTACGTTGGCCTGGAATCGAGAGAATTTCACGGTCTTCGGATAATATATCATAAGTTGCGATAATTTATGAACGTGCAGCAATGAGGAACTAGAAGCACGGCTCCGCAGTCTCGATCTTTAAGCGGAGATCATGGCCGGTATCGCGTTTCTAATACGATCCCATAGCGATCCTCTGCTCCTCTCCCGTGTTCCTTTTTTTCGTTCGTTTCGCAGATTTTATGGACAATTGGACGCAAGAACTATAACTACTTGTCTTCTTGTTTTCATTCTACAGCAGCCACGCTGATACGCGCCTAACAATGGACACGCATTTCTTCCGATTTATTATCATTTCTCTTCTTTGGATCTATAAACCGGCCGCGTAATACACACCGCATAAATCTCGCCGCTCATTCTCGTTCTTGCGCGCGTGCTTCGACGCAAGGTCGTGACTTACACAAGGAGGGAGAGAAGGAGGAAGAGGGGCAAAAATCGTAAAATCATTACGACCATCTTACGCTGCTAGGGTTTCCAGCGATGATCGCTCCAAAAAGGACGAGTCCTTTATTCGAGCGGTTCGTTCGTTCCAAAGCTTTCCGTGTGAGCTAAATTTTATGAGTAAGAAGTGTCACAGAGCGAACGAAAAATCAGTTTAGAGTTACGTACTGCGAGTTATACTACCTACTACGATGATACGTGATACATAATTCTACTTTCTTTCTCAAACTCGATTTTTTAAATAATGTCTGAACTTACCTACTCTCCTCGGATAGTTGTACAATAATTTCTAAAATGGTCGATTCGGTTAATGAACGCCCTAGTACCGTTCTTCTCGGTAGGTGCGCTTCAGAACCTGGAGACTTCAATGACCGCACGCGCGGTTTCCGCGTGTTTCGTCTTCTCTACGGCTTTCCTCGGATCGTTCGGAGAGAGAATTCACGAGAAGTGACACAATCGGCAGCGTTCACCTGCGTGCACCTGCGTGTATTCACGAGCACTCGTGCCCGTAACCCCGGACGTTAAAATGCCTGGGACTCCTCGGCTTGTTGACTTAGGTGGGACGAAGAAGAGGGGTCCACTCGATGTCCGTCAAACGAGCTCTAGTGGTTTCTTGGCCCGAGGATTCTGGTTTCCGAGGTTCTGGCTGATCTAAGCGCGCGGAGAAAAAGTACTACCAACGCGTGATGACGTGTGCCTACACGCATAAACGTGTACAGAGGCTGTTCGAGTTCCAGCATTACGTAAGCTTGTCAAACAGACCGTTTTTTTAAGGGGTGGTTTCGGTCGAGTCGTACTTGATCTTCATTTGTAGTGGTTTGATTGGAACTTTCATATTATGTATGAAAATGGGACTCTGTTCCTCCTTGTACGTACCTTACATTTCTCTTTTCTGTTTTAGACAATGTCAAATGTGTTTTTCTTTGCAACCTGCTTCCTATAAAAATTTACATACGAGATGCAGATCTCGCCGAACGATTATAGATTCTGTTACACGACACTTCACGCCTACGTAATTCATCTCTGAGATAACTTACGATGTTTGCTACGTCCGAAGTCGCAAGTGGACTTCATCATTTTAAAATTCCCGGACACGTATCTGGCTAATATTTATGTCGAAATTGAAAGGACGAATTACCTTACTAGACCGCGTTAGAAGGTCCCTACAAAGCAAACACTGAAGTCGAGAGATAAATCTCTCTTTGTAAATCAACCGTGGCGTCGTTGAAGAGCCACGTAAACCCCTACTTTACTCATCCTTTGTCTTCGAACACGTTCTTAGTTCATTTTTCGACGCGTTATGTTAATCTCGCCGAACAGTGGACCATCAGGTCTGTCGTAAATTAATAAAATCCTTCTCCGAGAACAGAAGAAGCTGAAAATGAATGGCGAGGAGGGGATGGAAGGAGTGGAAGAGTCCGAGGGACCGGTTGTTTTAAGGAGACGAAGTGTCTTATGAATGGCAGCAACCAGAGGAAGGGGAATGATTTTCGTCCATCTCAATTATTTAACCCTGATTTGCATTCCAAATGATCAATTTCACGCCTCGTTCATCTAATTACCAGTTGCTTCTTCGTGTTTGATTTTATTAGCTTCGCTTACGTCTCGATTTCATGGAACACCATACGGTATTCCGAATAGCGACAAGAATCGACGTCGAAAAATCGCGAAACCTAGAACGATCGTTTCGACCAAGGAGACCTTGATCTCGACGATCCACGACTCTATGGCTGCCTCGAACTCGCACGCATGTGTCAAGCCTCGATGGCATTTGTAACCGTGAAACGTGTCGCAGGTGTCCGATAATGACACTTACTCGTTGTTTATTTTTGCACATTTTTTTCAGGCGACAGGACCGTCTTGTAAATTTAATAGCCGTGTCGTCCACGGACGTATCTGTCCCGTGACGAAGAACGGTGACATATTCAATCTGGAAGAGTCTGTTAATCGGTCAACCTTCTTCTTGCATTACCGTCACATCCTTGTACGAATTCGTCAATATGCCTAAGGAAAGAATACCGAAACTTTCGTCTCCTTCCATTCACTGTTCCGTCAATTCAGTCGGAAGGCAAACGGCTGGCAATAATATCGCGTACACCCTGGGCAGCGAGGATGGCAGATGCTCGGCACGAGTGTAAGAGAGGCCATTATACGCGAGTGCGTGAGGTAAAGAGGTTTACTACACCTGTGGCCCGTGGGCTTGGCCAGTCGAAGCCGTTAGCGCTCGCGCGACGGAGAAGGCGATATAGAAAATCCTGGTGAAAACGTGCCGCGAAAGAGAGAGGGCACGGCCTTAAGGTTGACAATCCGGGGTCACGGAGCGACCGTCCCATTGGTCGTCGGGAAATTCATGTGTTTTTCACGGACGCGGGGGACCTGGTGTGTCCGAGCGTTTCGTTGGACGTTTACGAGCGTTTGACCCTAAGTAAGTGTACGTCGAGAGCGCGGGAAGTAGGGGAGGCGGAAGAGACGGAGAAAGGGAGAGAAGTCGCTCTCTTGCGGTCTCGCTAATTGGGCACGTTGCACACGCACCACGTCGTAAGAGGATCCTCGAGTGGACGTAAACCCTGCGAGAGTGTGTTGGGAAGGGATGTTCTCATTCAGAAATTCTCAGTTTAACATTTGGTCAGTGTTTTGTGTAGGTTGAAAAAAATAGTTGAATAAGTAATTGACTTGTTTTCGATCGCAAACATTCGATGGGTTAGAATTTACCTCGTCCTGCTAGATAATTCTAAAATTATTTACAAAGGCAACGTTCTATCGCGTGTCGAGTCAGTAGATGCCTCGAGCCTGGAGACTTCAATGACCGCACAGTATATACTACGTGGGTTTCGTTTGTTCTTTGCTCTTGCACTCTGAAAGACGTTTGCAGTCTGTTGTCTTGATATTTTAACAAATTGAATAAATAGTTATCGTGTGAAATGAATTGATTAAGACATCAGAGGACGATATTAAGAGGGGGATTAACGAGGAGAACACAGAACTGGTTTTGTAGAGAGATCTCGTAAATCTGTTATTGATGGTAACAACACGTCGTAGGAATAAATCAAAATTTACAGTGGCAGTCGTTTTACATTTTCATGATTCGGCGTAATTTATCGATGAAATTTTAATGCAGCGGAGTAATATACGATGCCGTTTGGACATAATAATGCTCAACCAAAAACAGGATAAAGAATGATGTATTCGGAATCAGTGTTCGAATGCTAATAATTTTGGAGTTAAGTTTGCTTTAGTACCTTGGACTCTGAGTCCATCTTCAACGAGTTGTTTTAGGGTCTAGGCATCGATTTTAAAAACACCATTTCCAAAGACAGTGTAACACCTCGTCAGCCTTTATCGAGTGATCAGCCATTCAATAGGAAACTCTGGTATCTTAGATTGTAAGCAGTTTTTCTTTTTTCTTAAATTTTTATGTAGTAAATAGATCTCCCCATTGCACGTTGCCGCGTTTTTTTATATTTTATTTTCGACTCTGCAACGTGCATGTATATGGGGACCCTGCGAGGTCACTTCCAATTTCTTCAAAAAAATTAACCTTCTAATTATCGTCGCGCGCAGTGATCCGTTCAGCTGTCTCATCGGAACTTTCTTGATCGAAAGTTGCTGCGTAGGCGCGGGGCCCGCTTTCGAGAAATCTCGCGGACGATCATTAATAAAAGCCGCATCATCGCGCGCTGGACTAGCCGGCATCGTGACACTTGACAAATAACTTATTTTTCTCCTCTTAATGTATCGCGGGCAATTACGAGAGGAAATCGGAGAGAATCTTCCGCGTCGAAAACCCCTTGGCTGAGGTTACAGACACTATCGAGGTAATATTTTCAAAAATAGTGCTTG